ATTTCAATAAGGTAGACGTCAGGTTTAGATTTCATGCATCTAGTGTCCTGGATTTTACATCTTTTACCTCGTTTTTCTTCTTTTTTTACCTTATTGGCGATATTAATGTTCTTAATCCATGAGTAACCAATAGCCTTGAATTTGGTTACATGTCGTTTTTGCCCAAATAACTTGCGAGAAGATGTATGATATTCCATCATAAGCAAAGTCAACAGTGATTAAAATGTGTTCGGTTTCATTTCTTTGACATGTTCTATGCGTAGCCTGTGCATCTCTTTGGCTATGGTTAAATTTTCACTGACAGGCCAAATTTTGCATTGTTTTAGCCAAGACGTCATGGATGTGTTTAGATACCTATAAGACATATTTTAAAAGCAAGATTGGGCATGCTGGGTTAGATCTGGCTCCATTTAATCAACAACCCTGCATTTTTTTCAATAATCCATTTATTGGATGCTTCAATACAGACATTGCAACTATTAAATTGGTATCAGATCACCGATGAAAATTAAAAACAAAAATTAGTAGCCTACCATGTCTGAGAATGTTTCAATAATTTGTTAACTTTTCAAGCTATCTCAAAGGCCAATAGCTGACCAAAGCAGTGTCCGAAATCGTGTAATATTATATAGTAGATAATGATGTGGTTTTTTGAAAAATTACTTTGCCACCATTAAAAAAAATATGTTTTATATCAGTGGTTCCCAAACTGTGGTACGTGACAGAGGGGGAACGCAAACAACACCCTGAGTAAAAACAGGGAAAATGGACAACAATTAGGCTACCTCATCTTTTTTGGTCAAAACTGACTACTGCATCCACACAAGCAGCGTGCATATGATGTAGATGGTTGCATGCATATGCTGCATTAGCAAATCGTCCTACATTACTGCCATTCTCGACATGTACTTTTGTAAAAGTAATCCGAGCAAGACGAAGACATAGGCTAAGGAGACGAGCTGAAAAGATTTTTGCCACAAGAATCACACTTTTTCAGTTGAGTGAAAACGAAATCATTAAGCGTTACAGATTAAGCAGCTACGCAATATTACAGTTAGGCTACTGGAAGAAATCAAAGATGACATTGAATCTCCAACTCAGCCTTCACATTCCATTCCAGCAGTTGTTAAACTCCTCGCTACATTACAATTATTGGCAACAGGATCATTTCAAACAGTCACTGTTATGATGATAGCAGAAGAACCCAAGCGCAGACGGTAGACAATTACACAACGTTTATTATAACAGAAAAACAGGGGAAAATAAAGCCCACGAGGGGGCAAAACAGAGGCAATACAAACGAGGGATAACTAAACTAGATAACACTAGACTATAAAACAGCAAATACAAGATCAAGACGTTCTTCAAAGACAAGGTACTCACAGGTAGACTCTCACAAAGTGTGACACAATGAACCGGCACAGGACAGCAAACACAAGGGGATGAAATAGGGGAACACTAATGACAAAGACAGGTGAAGCAGACTAGACAAGGACAGGTGAAACTGACTAGACAATAATGACGAGACGAGGATAACAAGGGGGGGTAACGTAACGAGACAACACAAGCACATGGCTCAAAACACAAGACCATGTGCTTGCACACAAAACATGATTCTGTCATGATCCTGCCTCAAGACTAGAGAAAATCAAGGACACGAGGGCAGAATCATGACAGTCACAGCATCAGCAGTGAAAGGAGGAGGCCCATTCAATACGCTGATTTCACGCAGCCGCCATTTTGAAATGGCTCCGGTGGGAAGAAAACCGGAAGTGTCACCTTTAATCATAGGAGAGTCGCGAATGCGATGGCGTATTGTTGTGTAATGTAGAAATTAGTTATTCTAAAAATGTACATACATTTCTTTCATACTTTAGACTATATACAGTGAAATTCATTTATAAATAAAATGATTTTTTTATATATAATTCAGAACGTAAAAAAAGAAGCAGGAACGAACTATATACATATCCTATATTGGATATTAACATCCAATAGTGTAAATTGCGGCAGCAGCTTCAGGTTGGTAGTCCAAGGCATTGTTGTCTATCTGTACTTCCGGGGTTATTCCCACCGGAGCCTCGCGTTCGATTTCAAAATGGCGGCTGTGTGAAATCAGCGCGCATTTAAATACGCGCAATTTACGGTATAGTGGGTGGGGACAGGCTCTGATTACCTGATGAACTGCAGGTTTGGTACATAACACGCACACTGCGGTTTCACATCAAGCACTTTCTGTGTCTTGGCCATGGCGCCATTAACGCTGCGTTCGCAAATGTATCTGGCCCAGAGAGTGCATAGAGATCAATTTAAAACAAATCTTCGATTCAAAAAAACATACCCTGTGTGAGTTCTTGTTTTTAATGTTGATCATATATTAGCCTATGAGCAAGAATGCATTTTTTTTCCAGAATATCCACACGATTGCAAAAGTGACATTGATTTTATACAACAGTTCAACAAACAAAAAGGTAATATTAAGTGATGTAGGCCTACATTTTAAACAGTATATTGTCAATATTGTTTGCTCTATTTTGCAACGAAATAATAGTTCCAATGAAAGCAACTGCAGAACTGTTGAATAACTGAATGAATGAATGATTCGAAGACTCACTCATTAAGACAGTGACTTAGCCGGTTTTAGTTTCAATTCACATTTATTTGTATAACGCTTTTCACAATACATAGTTTCAAAGCAGCATTACAGAAATTGCATGTCTACAATACAATTTATAGTTTAAGTATCACTTTGATTTTACCATCATTTTGGATTTCTCTATTGAACATTTTTTATACAATACAATATTTATTTATAAAGCACATTTAAAAACAACCAAGGTTGACCAAAGTGCTGTACAAAGCAGAAAATATAATGCAGAGCAGTACAGGACAGTGATTTTTTTTATTTAAAACATTATATTATTACATTATTTGTAATTGCATGAACACTGAACAGCATTAAACAGTGTATATACATCAAGATGCAGCTTGTGCCATGGAAAGATGACTTTTGTTGATACTGATTTCATTTGATTGAACTTATTGATTTAGTTTAATTCATTGCTTTATTTATTATATTAATAATTAAATTAATGACATTTTCAGAATTTGACAAAAATCAATTTAAATGTTATCCCGTAAAGGAAAATGTATGACTGCAGTTTGTAAATGCCTCAGGTGGTACGCCACTCTAAAACTTGGGAACCACTGTTCTATATAATATAAATGTGTGTATGAATAAAATTCGGACATTCTACATTCGCCATGTTGTCACTGTCATGTGACTAGCATCAGTTGCAGCCTTCAATGGGTGCTTCTCAATCAGAAGGCTGCGTCCTAGTAAGGCTGCATGTCTCGGTTGCCACGTCATCAAACTCAGTCAAATCAAGAGTATCCTTCGCATCCCCCAATCACCCACAATCCTTTTCACACATTCCAATTCACAAAAAAAAAAATTAGCAAAAGATGAATCGGCATTGAGCTTGTTCAATTTCACTACATAATGCAAGAAAAAAATATTTTGGAGTTAAAGGTATTATGTTTTATTATGTATTATGTCCTTGGGCGGCAGTGGCTCAGTGGTTCATGTAGGTTGTCTACAAACTGGAAGGTTGGTGGTTCAATCCCCGGTTCCACCTGACCAAGTGTCGAGGTGTCCATGAGCAAGACACCGAACCCCGGCTGCTCCCGCCGTCGGTGTATGAATGAGTGTGTGAATGGGTGAATGTGAGACAAATTGTAAAGCGCTTTGGTGGCCATTGGGTCTGTGAAAGCTCTATATAAATGCAGTCCATTTACCATGTTTTCTTGTATGTGTTTGTTGTATATTAATCACATAATGTTAAACCATGTGTAATGTAAACCACTTGGAGACCACAGATTGTTGCCATTACCTGTGTTGCATTAATAGAAAGCCAGTTTTACTGTAAAGTATTTTTCTAATTATAATTTGAATAGTATTTTCGCATCATGACCGTTCATAATTCAGTCAGCCCTGAGCCCATATGCAAAACATTTATAACGGGCTCCATCGGTTGAAATTGCATTCTGGGCTCCACATCATGCTGCGTATAATCCAATCTGCCCAGGCCCATATGCATGCATTCTCTTCATACCCAGACGCTACGCCACTGGATGTAGGCAATGGCATGCACACTTACTAGACCGTCTCATTCTAGCGTTCAATGCTGAGGAGGACTCTAGCCTAGCCTCCGCAGGACTGGAAGGACACAGCCTCGGAACCAGCCTTCTGTTTGAGAATGCCATACGGCATTCACAAATCCACTCCAGTGGCCTCATGGGATAGTAACGTGCCATTGAATGCACACTTCCGAATCTCAGTGAAAGAATTAGGTCATTCTGTACTTTTCGCTTACTGTTTTACTATGAATTCAGACATATTGCTCGGCTCACATAATGTTTTTCACACACCTACCTGCATGGAAGTAGGCATATTTATGAGTCTAGACTTAGCAAAAGGTCAGGTCTTGATGTGTTTAAGTTAATTTTATGTAAAAGAATAGTTTATCTAACACAGGGATGGGCAATGTCGGCCCTGGAGTGCTGATGTCCTGCAGAGTTAAGCTCCAAACCTAGTCAAACACATCTGAACAGGCTTATCAATGTCTCTAGGGTTACTAAGGCTATACAGGTGAATTTTTTGTTAATAATCAGGGTTGGAGCTAAACTCTGCTGCTCTGCAGGACAGGGACACTCCAGGACCTATGTTCCCCATCGCTGATCTAATAGGCTAGATGCAACAACAACAACAACAAAATTGCATGTGTGCCTCTAATGCTCTAAAAATGTCATAAAGCATCGGAGAGTACCGTATTCGTGGCTATCTCATGGTTATAAGGATGGGTGTGCTGTTTACTTATGTGCTCCGCTTGCAATAATGTCTCCGCTTATCGTTCCTGCAAATCTGGATTTGTGCTTGTAAGCAAAGAGCAGGTCTGACGTCAGACCTCGACTCGCATAGCAGCAGACCGGTCCCTAAACACCGCCCACACTCTCCTAAAACACAAAGCAGTCCCTTTTCTCTATCTTAACCTGTCGAGAAACTAAAGCGAAGCGCATGCATGCACGCCAAGCTAACGGGAAATTTAACGCACTTGACGGCAATCGTGCAGGCGCTCTGTTGTCGGACCATATACGCACGGATGGAGCACTTACATTACACAGACGTCGTCGGGCGGATTTGAAAGGCATCGGCCGAGATGCACCGAGGCTATTGCCAAGCGCCGATCTATAGTGATACCGGCCGGGTTTTATTATGGCTTTCAGACGGTCAGCTCGGTAAGTGTATCAGGCTTAGACTGTTAGGCGCAATCTGTGATTTATGACAGAGGCAGTCTGTCTTTGTCCGAACGAATTCTGCAACATCCTTTCTAAACAAGACAAGGCAAGAGTATAGAAAAAGGCCAATCGCATCTATTCTGTCCCGCAACCTGTTTAATATCCCTCTATACCCGTTTTCATGCAAACATAATATAGTTTGCAATGAAGCATTGGACAAAAGTCTGTTCGCTTTGATCTAAGCCTGAGTGGTAGATAGGGTCCAGACATATAATAGCGACATACGGCATGGGAAAGAGTTTGTAAAAGCAGCCTTTAAGCTTTTTGTATGTGTTAACTGTAGATGTGGATTTGACCTGACAACAGATACACCTGCCTGCTTGTCTCCGTTTTTCTGTCATATTGAATTTCTTCTCCCTTCTCTGGCATAATGTCACTTTTGTGTTTCTAATCATGGCTTAATTCTCCTTTCAAACATTCTATTCTTCGCATGATCACGCTCTTCCCTTTTATTGTCTCTTTGTTTGTCTTTTATCATTTGATTCTCTATTATTGAACATTTCACTCTCCTTCTGTGCTGCACAATATCACAGTCGAGGCTAACAGTTCTCCTCTTGGTCACAGGAGAATGCGGTGGCTGGGATGTTATCGGCTGGGGCCCGTATGGAAAGCACTCCTGGTATTTGTTGTCATCGGTTTTGCTGGGCAACTTCTGGGAGTCATCTTCAACAAGAGGTAAGAAAATGTTTCCATTTCTATTTTCATTCTTTCTAAATATTTCTTCTCCTCTTGTTTACTGTACTCTTTATACAGCATTTATAAAAAAAATTGCTTAACATAGTATTGTCATTTAACACTCAGTGTTAAGAAACAATGTTGCTTAAATGTTTCTGGATTATTTACTGCAGCAAAATAACTTACTTCAAATCAACTGTGACATGTTTCTAAAGGCTCTTCTAAGAAGGAAATTAATTCCCCCCCCTTAGTCATACAGGTTCCAATGACATGAGGGTAAACAATGGAAAAAAATTTTTTTTCATCAAATGCTATTTAGCCAGCCAAGAATATTGTGTAATTATTCTTCTGTACGAGATCTTATTACGTAATTTATTCTAATAATATATAATGTGCCTCTTGGCACAAATAAGTGATTATGCATTCCATATTCTCAGAGTATCTCTGAATTCATTATTTGTGGCTAATCTATTATCACCCGTTTTCTTTGAAGTGTTTATTCTCTACTTTCTTAATCACTTTATCTCAATTATCTCTCTTGTGTAATTATCTGTAACCTGACAGGCCTTTCTGTCTTGTTTAATTTATTTTCCCCATTTCACTGTTCATCCCCTAATTTTTCTGAGTAGAACGGGAGATTCATTTTCGTTCTTGTTATAATTTTTATGTCATTTGTTCTTTCTTTCCATTAGCTGGATGCAGCCAGAGAGGCCTCACTCCCTCTACTCTTTTCCCTCTGACAATTCCCAAGGGGACTCTCTGGGGTCTTGTCAGCCCCACATACACATCATGTTCCTGAAGACTCATAAGACAGCAAGCAGCACCGTTCTCAATTTGCTCTATCGCTTTGGAGAGGAGCGGGGCCTTAAATTTGCCCTGCCTGTGGGGTACCAATTTGGCTACCCGCTGCCCTTTATCGCCCAGAGGGTGAAAGGATACAGAGGCCCTCACGTGGCAGGATTTGACATTATGGGAAATCACATGCGTTTCAACAAACCAGAGGTACAGCATATGGTAGCTGGCATTTTCTCGGACAGATCTGTTGCAATTACAATCTGTTCATACATTTAACACTAGAAGTGCCAGAATTCCATAACTACTAAAACTGCCACAAGCGGTCATTTTGACCGCTTGATTCCAAACTCTATATCTTTAATGATAAATGCCCAATTGATTAATGCATTTATTGTATTAGGATATCTTTTAAAAACAAAACAACACCAAACTGTACATTTAAACAAGATTAATTATACATTTATAAATAATAATATCATTAGTAGCCTACCGTAATTATCGCATATTCACAACAGATAGGCTATATTGCCATATCCATTCAACATAACTCAGAACAAGATAATAACAACTAAAAGTATCTTATTTAGATATTCTGTTGACAGTGAGAGAGACAAAGGTCAACCGCGGGAAATATAACAAAAGAATACCGCGAAATTCAGTGCGGTCAATATGGCCGTCTATGGCCTAAATAGGTAAAGATGTTCATTTGTTTTTTGCCTTATGTGTAAGATATATGAAAAACATTTTAAATGAAAATAAAGACACTTTTAGGAAAAGTCAGGTACCAGCAGGATTTTATTTATTTTTTCAACAAAGTTATTGCAGATATAAAATTCAAAAACGGTCAAAATCACCGCCATGGCCGTTCTAGTGTTAATTATTTTTTATCAAATTAATTAGGCGTCCAGGCAATAAAACCAATTTGATTCCTTAGTATTAATACTGTTTTTCTGGCCTAAAACTGTTTGGGCATCAAATACCTTTCTTTCTGACACTAGGTGATGCTAAAATAAGCACAATTATGTTTTCATTAATAATAAATACCACATAATAATGGAATGTTGGAATAATGGAATGAATAATGGAATGTTATTCTCTTTTTCACTTTTGTTACAGATTGAGAAGGTCATGCCAGCTGACACCTTCTATTTCTCCATCCTTCGAGACCCTTTGGCGCTAGCTGAATCCTCCTATGCCTACTATAAAAACGTTGCCCCTGCCTTCAGGCGTGCCAAAGGACTGGGAGATTTTGCAGACAACCCCTATAAGTACTATGACCCCAGACTCCGAAACAACCATTATGCCCGCAACCTGATGTGGTTTGACTTTGGTCTGGATCATACCTCTAACTTCAGCCTAGCGCTGGTCAAGCGCGGTGTGGCAGCAGTGCGTCGGAACTTCAATCTCATCCTTCTCTCAGAGTATTTTGACCAATCTATGGTGCTGCTGCGCCACGCTCTGTGCTGGCCACTAGATGCTGTGGTTTCTTTTAGCCTAAACGCCAGGCAGCAAGTGCCCAGTGGAAGGTCAGGATGGGTGGTCAAGGCAGCTCCGGCCCCCTTGACTTTAACAGACAAGCAAAAATCAAAATTACGTGAGTGGAATGCTCTGGACTGGCACCTTTACCAAGCTTTCAATCTCACTTTTTGGCAGGAAGTAGATCGCTTTGGGCGTAGTCGGATGGAGACTGAGGTGGCCTTGCTTAGGACCAAAAGGGAGATTCTCACTCGCATTTGCTTACGCGACGGCGGCCGCCCCATAGAAGCCAGTCGTATCCGAGACAAGACCATCCGCCCTTTCCAGAGTGGATTAGTGAAGATCTTGGGTTATGAGTTGCAGTCGGGACTGGACAACGCCACGTGGGAAGCTTGCCTTCGCATGATCAGGCCTGAAATTCAGTACAAAGACTTGCTGGATCTTCGGCAATTCCCGCGAGCCCAGCAACCCCCAGTCGCTGGAGGGCTTCCAATAAGGAGGGAGTCCTCAAAACTCAGGACTGAAGACCATGGGGGAAAGAGGTTTGTGGAGAAGGACTGGGATGGGACCATTCTGTTTCGGAATCAATCATTAGATCATCAGATTAATTCAAAAGTAAGATTTAGATAGTGGTTGCACCTTTTTTGCCTCAAGGTCAGTAGTTCTGACCCATTTTGGCTCCACGGGCCTCTGTGCTGCACTACTAGAGGAGAAGGGATATCCAAGACATACAACACACCACTTTTTCATCGACTCTTCCTCCTCATCTTACCCTTCTACACGAGGAGTGAAGAGGTACATTGCAGTGGCTGGAGTGATATAATGGTATAAACATGCCCAGATGGTGGCCAAGTGCATAAGCTCACTGTTGGTGAGTTTGATATTAAGAATAAGTGAGAATGGTGCTTCCCTGTCCATGCCGAGCCATGGAATGGTACAAAAATAAGTGGTTGTCATGTAAGTTGTGGCAGTGTTTCAAACATACTGTTTAACCCACTCTTAAACAGATGAAGTATCTTTGGTACATAGCGTTCAAAAGTTTGGGTTAGTATGATTTGTTTTTAATGAAATTAATACTTTATTCAACTGGGATGCATTAAATTGATCAGAAGTGACATTAAAGCTGCCGTCGGCAACATTTTTTTGATCATATTCAGTGAAATCGACACTATAATCTGACAGAACAACATAAATAAAGTGGTTTTAGAAAAAAACCCGAGCTTCTAACTCCACCTGGAGCGTGTTATTTATTTTGCAAAAACCCACAGCTCCCGGTTCATCATGTCCAATCAGCGTAGGGGGGTGTGAGATCTGACTGTTAATCACAGATCGGGCACACGCCACCCCTCGCGCACGTTACAATCACATGCACACGCCTGAAGTTCGCGGAAGTTCGCGCAGTAACGAAGAGTGATGGCGGAAAATCAAGTAAGCTCATTTAGAGTATAAATGACGTTAGCAATTGCAATCTATTGGTATATTAGCCAGGACAGCATACCTCCAAATACTCCATGGTGTTGATGAATGCTGATGAGACGGGCGCGTTCACTGAAAATCTGGTGCACACGCACTGACGAGCATGAACTCGGTTGGACTGTGCGAGGGTGTCCGTTGATAGTGGGGGAGGGGCATGAGAGTTGTAAACATTCAAAATTTTCCTAAATCCACTCAATCTGCCAGACTTGCCGACTGCAGCTTTAAAGAGGTGTTTGATTATGATTTCACTTTTCTAACTTTAGTTAGTGTGTAATGTTGCTGTTTGAGCATAAACAACATCTGCAAAGTTGCAATGCTCAAAGTTTAAAGCAAAGGAAGATATTTGCTTTTAAAGAAATTGTTTTTTAAGGACTACAACAAACAGAACACAACAAAAATGTTAGTAACATCACTAACCCAAAATTTACATAAACCCCGCCCCCAGTAACACGCAGTCCATGTTGAGAAGAGGAAGAGTTGTTGTAGTACAGTACATTTGTGAATCTGCTCAAGCTATCGCATCCGTATTTTCACATGCAATACAATATGTAACACAAATGCAATAGCATGTCACTCTGTAGGCATTTTACAACAGTTCCCCCACAAACGATTTTATAGATTATCATGACAGAATATGCTAATCAATGACTTGATGATAGTTAACAACTCCACATCAGCAACATAAATTAATCTACTAACCATTCAGAAACGTCCTGTTGCATTCTACGTTGTCACTTCTTCTTAAGTATCTCTATCATTGTCCGACTCCAGTTTAAACATAAAAGGCAGAACAGTTTCTGACATTTTAGTGCTTGTCTGCGGAGCTGCTAACACACACAAGCTCTTGAAGCTTTGCCCTCTGTGCCAGCAGCTCATTTGCATTTAAAGGGAAACAAAACATGTTTTTGCTCACCCTCAAAAAGAGACAATTTTAACATGCTGTAAAAAAATATTTTGAGCTAAAACTTCACATAAACACTCTGGGGACAGAGACTTATTTTACATCTTGTGAAAAGGGGCATTATATCACCCCTTTAAAGCCATTTATAATGTTACGAAAGATTTCTATTTCAAGTAAATGCTGTTCTTTTTTGAACTTTAAATATTTGTTCAAATATATAACATTGATAATAATAAGAAATGTTTCTTGAGCTCCAAATCAGCATATTAGAATGATTTCTGAAGGATGCTGAAGTAATGATGTTGAAATAGAAAACAGAAAATTGTATTAATATTTTATAATATTACCGTTTTTAGTTTATTTTTGATTACATAAATGGTGAGCATAAGAGACTTCTTAAAAAAAAAAAAAAAACGATCCCAAGCTTCTGAAAATGAACATCCAGTATCAGTACCAAAAAAAGTAGGCTTTTGCATCCATTGAAATAGCTATTCGATATTGGAAATGCAAAAAAAATATGGATATCCATTTTCTGTATGAAGACATTCCACAAAAGTTGATTCACAGACCCTTCATAGTCTGGCACACATTAGAGTGGCTTGAATTTAATTTTATATCCATTTATATGTTGTTTTTTTTTTTAAACAGGAATCCTGACAGTGTTTTTTAATTGAATACATTGCAAACTTTTATTTGATATGCCTCACATTCAGTTTTAAAAACTGGGAACTGAGAGAAGACACAAAAGCAGGCTTGCAATAGTTCGATTTTCCGTGAAACATTATAAGCTATCATGAGTCCCATGGGTCTGGGAGAACAAAATCTCAAGTTTTTAACACTGTGAAATAATTATGATCATTCATATAGGGCAAAATGGGCTGTAGATTTGTATTTATCAACCTCATTGATTGGCCAATGCACTTCCTGTACCAGTCTGTTTACCTCTTGATGTTTGCTAGAGTTTGATATTTTCTGCATTTTTATTTTGAGGTTTTGAGTAAAAAAAAAAAAAAATGATGGTGAATGTTTATTAGCATGATAAATGCTGTAATTTCTGAGGCCTGTCATAGACACTTTAATGACCAGAAAATACTCCTCCTGAAATTCCAAAACTCAATGGTTATTTTGCCTTACTATTAGTACCTTTGTGAAGCAGTGCTTTAATATCAAAGCTTGCTGTATTTATTATGCTTTTGTATAAATTTCTCTGTGTATCTACTGCATTTATACTCTCAAACTTAAATGTTTTTTCTCTTATTGTGAGTGCTGAGAAAACGTAGTGTAGAAATTTGACTGGAATGCACTGTGCAAATTGCCCCATGAACAGCCAGCTTTATGCAAATTTCAATGCACAGAGCAAGACGATATCTTACATTATAAATTAATTTATTTCCTCTGTTCTAATGCAGACGTTATTGAAATGAAGAAAACATTAGGTATGCTCACTGTCATGTGCCTATTCATGTGTCATTTATTGTATAGTTAGGATTTATATGCATGGCTATAAGTAGCAATCATTTCCTTGTGTAATTGATAAAAAACTGCATATTTTTACTTGCATTTTAATACCCCATTTCATTTTAGTTTGAATCGTCCTATCGCCAGTTAATTAACTGTTTTTAAGTAGCTTCTGTGTTTGCAGATCACATGCAGTAGTTATTGATGGAGCTAAATTCAAAATTAATTGATGCATGAAGTGCATTAAACTTAATGCATTAAACTTATTATATTTTACAAAAAAAGACTTGATTTGAAAGTGTTCAAGACATAATGATTCATTTTGATAATACCCCTTTCTCTTTAGAAACTTTGATGTTGGCTAATTTAATGCTTCTGCCATTAAAAAGAAAACATCAATGCTACTGCTGTAAAACATTTGGAAGAAATTCACCCTAAATTGAATTTAAGCATTGGTTTCCTGTTCAGCTTGAGATGTATAATAACTTTTACATTCATTCACCTCATTTTAGTGAATACTCTTTAATGAGACTGTAATAAGTCTGGCAATATTGTGCTGTGATACCTGCGTCTCATACAAATCAGAAGGTTTTGTGTCCTCATGACTCTTTAGGTAGATTATCTGTGGTACTGCAATTTAAAGATAAACCAAAGAGGTACTGATGTTTCTGTGCTTGGAATCTTGATTTGGCACACAGTTTTTCATTACATTCATTGACTAGAAAATTAATTCAGAAGGCGTGCAAAGGGGCAAATGCAGCCCACATTCTGCATCTTTGCAGATTTGATGCAACTGACATCAACCATCATCTCATAAGGGAATAAAAAGACACGGGCAGAAAGTTAATTAAAAATTGTGCTTTCCAAATGAGAAAAATGCTACACTGCTGTTACAACACAATCTATAAATCAGTACGTGTCATTCAGTTTCATTTGAGCAGGAAAAGTAAACTCATTAATGTCTGCTCTGCACTTTTGAGGCCATAATGCGATTCACATGATGTTTCTGGTTGGGTTTCTCTTTGGCTGAGATTTTTCAAACCTGTTTACCATATTTATTATTTTTTGTTACTTGAATATATGGGGAAACCTCTGTAAATATTTTGATTGTGATCAACCTGATTTGGGTTATTGTATGTAGTAAAATAAAACAACTTAAACTTTTACAACTTTTGTGATGAATTTGTTTCAGAAGTTTTCTAATAGCTATTGGTGCCCTTATCATTGATCTCTGAACTGAATGAGATAAGGTCATTACACAGATATTTTGTTATACTAGATTAAACAATGGAAAAATAGGCTGGAACTGCAAGTTTGCATATGTTTTTTCATGTTGCAGCATGTAAATTAAGAACGTACTACTCTCATGGGCAACTTTATTCAGTTTTGCATTGATTCAAGTTCAATATGCAAACATTCAAATCAGTCAATTTAATCTGTGTTGCCTTAAATGATATATGCGAAAATAAAATAATATTGAAGCATTCACTGACTTCCAAAGCTAGCAAGAGGGGTGAAGAAAGGGGCTACATTGCATGACAATAAGGAGTGGTTTTTAATCAACTCTTAGTTGAAAGTTTTCTCAACGACAACACATTGACCATATTTACCATGTTATTATTTTAATTAGCTCAAACAATTGCCGTGTTTGCAGTTACATTTAAATTAAGACATTAGACACAGCAACTTCAGAACACTGGACTTTTCCCACATGCATTCATGGTTGAATATAAATAAATATTATTTTGTTGGAAATAATATTTTGTTGGAAAAAATATTGTTTTGTTGGAAATCAATTGAATATAAGTACAAATAAAGTAATTGAATATAACATATTCGCAGAAATATCCAAAATAGTTGGACCCTTATTTACCTTCATCGACAAGCGACTATTCTCGCCTTGTTATCATCGCGCTCTACTCCATCTGAACTCGATACGCATGCCTGCCATATAGCGCACTTGAATGTATTGTATACGTCAACTGGCAGACAACCGAAATGTGGCAAAATAAGATGAATGTAATTTTTCTTCAATCTGGGCAACTCTAATATGAACTGAGCAGAAAGGTAAAGCGGGTTTGTTGAATTTATTGATTCCAATTTGAATGGGAGTGTTATTTGCAGACTGCACAGGCTAAACGGATAACCTTCGCTGTCTGTCTGCTTGCAGTGCAGTGTGATGGTTATGGTGTTAATGATGGAATCGCAATGCGAATACTTTATGTATTTCCCGGCCGTCCCCATCTCAGACCTGTCGGACCCGGCCAAATACCGGACGCTTCCGCGTCGCAGTCACCTTTATCTGGGGGAAACTGTGCGCTTTCTCCTGGTTTTGCGCTCGAGCACTACGGCAGCTGATGGCAGCGGCTCGGAGCATCACAACAGCCGCTCTTGGAGGGAGCTGGCCGGCTCTCTCTGCGCCGTGGCCAGCGTTAGCCCGGGCGACAACCGACAGCGGACACAGCCTCTGTATCACGACTACCACAGCAGCGGGGACGAGTGTGTGGAGGATACGGACGATGATGATGCTGCGGAGGTGGGCTGCGCAGGTAGAGGGGGCCCGAGGTACCGGGGCTTCAGGGAATGCAAGCCGCTCCTCATTCACAACAACCCCGGCAACGGCGTGAGGGAATTCCGCAAGGCTCCTGTGCAGGTGCATAAACAAACAATCTAGTCTTTTGGATTATAGCTGTTCATTGTAGAGGTAAAGTTCACTGCTATGAATGCAAATACACTTGACTTTATCTATAATTACACGGAAGTGGTGATATTTCCTGTTACTGTACTGTTTGAGAGATGTGTGTGTCTTGGCTGCTGGTAACCACGCAGAACACATTCCTAATTTATAATTGAGGGTAGTCTTATTATTACTGGAAAGAACTTCCTGTTTTAGTGCTGGCCAAAATGCTACCATGTGTATTCCATGCAGTATATTTCTATAAGGTCTTGACTTCAACACCTACCGGTACACCGGTTAAATTTTGTTTAAAAAAGTCACCATGAAATAAAAAAATAACTATTATAGTTTTTTTTTTTTATTATAGAATATTGCAGAATATTCTCATCTTCTCTTCTCTTCTCTGATGAGATGTTTACTGGTGCGAGGATGGGATAACCTGCCACTCACATGAGATCCACCAATAGCAAACCACAGCGATCCAATCAATTGCTGATTGACATAATCAAGTCCCGCCCTGTGTTGTCTTGTTCAGAAGCTGTTTCACTCGGATATGTTACAATAGGGAAGAAAAGACTAAATACTATTGCAACTTCCGTTTCTATGCCAACTTTAACTAAGAAAGATTTTACACAAAAAGAAATCAACTGCATTTATAATTATAATACAGATTATTAAAGGAGTAGTTCACTTTAAAATGAAAATTTGCCCATGATTTACTCACCCTCAAGCCATCCTAGGTGTACATGACTTTCTTCTTTCAGACACCCTGGCGCTTCTGAGCTTTATAATGGCAATGGATTGCAACCATCAGATTGAAGCTCAAAAAAGTGCATCCATCCATTATAAAAGAACTCCACACTGCTCTGGGGGGTTAATAAGGCCTTGTGAAGCAAAGCGATAAGTTTGTGTAAGAAAAATATTAATGTTTAACACATTACAAAGTAAAATTCCAGCTTCTGGCCAAACAGCCATACGCAGTCTACTTGCGCAACTTGTGATGTCAGAAGTAGCGTAGTGCATCATGGCGAGTAAATATCAGCTGTACGTACTACGTCCCATTGGTCGCATAAGTTGCGCTTTACACTTAAGACGAATCCGTATGTTCGTTTGGCCAGAAGCTAGTTATTTTACTTTAATAAGGTTTAAATATGAATATTTTTCTTACACAAACTCAGCTTTTCCCAGCCCCCACCCTCTCAAATATCTGTATTTTTGTAGTTCGCATACAGATGCTATTGGTTAAATAACATCTGCAGATAGTAAATTATGTCTCTAGAGAATCATATATGGTCATTGTAATCAAGTCATTTCTTTAACATGGTTGCTGACAGTTATTTGAGTTTAGGACAAATTCTTCACACCTAATGAAAGTTTGATAGCCTGTCAAGCATGTGTTGCATGCAATGCAAGTGTGTGTTTTTTTCCATATTGAAACTCTTATAAGAAGCAAAGCATGGTGATTAGTTTTCCAAACAGATTGTGCAAGTTAGGGAGGTAGCCTACAGCCCACTATTGAAATGAGGGCTTAGTTTTTAGTGCTATTTGCTCTGCTTTCTTGGTAGTCGCACCCCATAGTGCAAATAATTTTATATGTACCAGTTGTAGAAGTCAGACATTACAGAGCCATGATGCTCAAGCTTTAGACCAAGGTTGTGTGGCTATCTGACCAATGTTATTATCCCTGAAGCATAAGAACACATAGCCTAGGTAGTAGGTACTCTCTACACGTAGAGTAAAAAGCTTAGTGTTTAACCATTTTTGGGCTTGGTTAAACACTAAGCATTTAATTGTCTTAACCACAAATTATTGTTCAGGAAATTAGCAAACATTTAAGCAAATACACTACTTAAAAAGCCATTGCTGTCTTAGAAAAGCATCAAAGACAGAATGAAGTTTTTGCCAGAATATGAAAAGTTGTGTGTGTTGGTGAGTGATGAATCATAATGAAACACGAGTTGCGTGGCTATGCTCCAGAGTGGTGCCTTCGGTAATCTGGTGTGAAATATAATAATAAATGCATCATTATTCACTAACACAGTGAAGCATGGAGGAGGAGGTGTCATTGTGTGGGGAGCCTTATTATCTGCTGGGTTTGGTGAGCTACTTCCCTCTGAAAAGGAATTTAATGCTTTGGAGTACAGGAGAACATTACAGAATGGCTTGCTTCCCACTAATGAAAAGTTGTTATCTAAAGAGGAATGATCAGATGGGTTTTTTTTTCCAACAAGACAATGCTCCTGCCCAAATTGAAAAGACAACCAAGAAGTGGCTTGAGAACAAGTCCATCAGGCTCATGTTTTGGCCTGGCCAAAGTCCAGATTTGAACCTTATAGTGAATATTTGGTCTCACGTTAAACTCAATTGAACTGGGAGACATTTTTTCAACTGCTCATGAACTGGTTGAAGCCAAGGAGTGGAAAAACACGGACTCTTCTTCCTGTAAAAAGCCGTCTGCAAGTTGGGGAAGGCTATTCTGTGCTAAGTTACTTTATCTTCACTATTTGTGCAATTCTTGCTAATTTCCTGACCAGTGATTTGTGATTAAAATTGTTAAGACCATTAAAAGACCACTAAGTATTGTGTCATTTTTTTGCTTGGCCCATTTTTTTTTTGCCCAGGAATGTATATTAGGAGAAAATTAATTTGTATTAAAAAAAAAAAAAAAAATGTATACCTTGGATGCATGTAAACCTATTGTAGAAGACTTCTAAAACAAAATTAGGAATCTTTAAAATGGCATTATAGGGGTGCTTTAACTCGTCCCATGTCTCATGTTTCACTTTGTTTCTCAGTCTCCTGTAGATGAGCCAGTTGTTTTAAGCGATGAGGTCATCTTCCCTCTGACTGTATCCCTGGATAAGCTCCCTGTCAACACTCTCAAAGTGAAGGTATGGCTACTGTTTTTATCTTCACTCTGGCATTCATGCATGTGGTTATGTGTTTTGCATTTGATATTGTGGTATAAATAGAACATCACACGCATTTTTGGCACACGGTTGTGGTGCTGACTTGTACATGTTTGTGCAAGGTTTTAATACATAGGGAGGGAGTGCAAAAAATGATGTGCAAACACCAGTGCTCACGCTATGCCACATCACCTTGCATGTGTTGCTGATCACACTTCTGATTATGTGTTCATGTTTGTGTGTTACCTCGATGAAGATAATTGTGACTGTGTGGAAGCAAGAAGAGGAGAAAGCTGAGATCCAAGAACATGGCTACCTCAGCATCCTCCAGCAAAAGAGCCCCTGCCAAACGTTCCGCCAGGATCTAAACACCTTCAAAGCGCAGGGTGAGCTCTTGCTTCCTTCAGCACAATACTGCATGATGTCATTATTGAATCAGGACCTCTGGGATCTGCCTTTTTCACTCATCACCTAGTTTTCTTTTTCATTGCAGTATTTCTCCTCTCTCTGTTTCTTTATCTTTTATTTTGTTGTGTGCTTGTCAGTGTCATGGTTTTAGATTTGTTTTGTTTTTCCTGCTGTGTTTTATGTATTTTAAAAGGCATTTTTCCTTTTAGATACCTGATACCTATGCTGTTTAGAATTTAGAATGGTGTTTTTAAATTGGTATAATTTTCTCTTGTTTGCTAACAGTCAGCACCACACTCAACGTCCTGCCCCCTCCCGCAGTGAAGTGTCAGCAAATGACAGTTTCTGGGAGACACTTAACTGTGCTCAAAGGTAATGTCAGCCCTATTTCTCTTTCTCACATTGTATGAGCACAAATGATAAATATACACCACTATTCAAATGCTTGGATTCAGTAAGATTTGTTTTTTTTTAAAGAAATTGTTTTAATTTTATTCAGCAAGGATGCATTAAGTTGATCAAAAGTGACATTAAAGACATTTATAATGTTACAAAAGCTTTCTATTTAAAAAACAATGCTTTTCTTTCGAACTTTCTATTCATCAAAAGATTCCTGGGGAAAATGGATCACCGTTTCAACAAAAATATAAAGCAGCACAACTGTTTGCAACTGATAATAATAATAAAAAATGTTTCTTGAGCATCAAATCAGCATATTAGAATGAATTCTGAAGGATCATGTGACATGACTGGAGTAAGGACGCTGAAAAATCATATACAAGTAGAACACATATACATTGTAATAATATTGCACAATATTACCATTTTTACTGTATTTGTGATCAAATAAAAAGTGTTGATGAGCATATATATATACATTATATATAAATATAGGCTTTATTAATATAATTGTGATTCTCTTAAAAAAAGAAGGCCTCTTATGAGTTCTTCAGAACTGTGAGTGTCTGTGTCTTCTGAGTATGATGTAATGGGTCCTTAGTAATCCCTAATGTAAGGGAGTGAAGAAATATATATTCATATCTCATTATAGAATTATTCCCATATCTATTCACACAGTCTTCAAGGGAGGATGCATGGATATGTTTGTATGTTATATTTGTATGACTTTATTACACTGTCCTTTCTTTAAATCTGCCAACTATGTTCAAACAGTGACAGTTTCATTCAGCTGATGCACTACATACATTTTGTCGTCACTGCTATAGTGTAAGCACACCAGTAGACATCTTTGTGCTAAAATGGTATGTGTGTGTGAGACGGGCAGTAGGCATTCTGTTGTGCTTTTGCATGCACTTTCTTTTTGATCTTTGTGGCTTCCTGTCTCTTTATGTGATAGACGTCCTGTTCATGTATGCAAACATCTGACTGTTTCAGTGTTAAACGGGAGTTCTCAAGAAGAAGTGTGTGTGCGTGACGTCAAGATTTTTCCCAACTTCAATGCTTCATACTTACCAGTGATGCCAGATGGCTCGGTGCTGCTGGTGGACAATGTTTGGTAAGAGAAAACATTATGCGTGACCTCACACACCTGTGAGTGTGATTGCAGTGCAGTTATCAGTCTAATGATAATGTCCTCAAACATTCTGGTTAGGGTTTGTTATAAAGTCTTGTTTTTACAAAGTTTAGGGTTTTGTTCTTAAGAAAACTATCTGCTATTAATTCAACTTGAAACACTTAACAGAACATTAAAAAATTGTGTTGTAGATAACACAAGATCTGTTGGACTATATATTGACTTATACTTATTAAGAAATTTAAGATAAAAGTTTATAAAAGTTATAAAATGTTCAGCATTCAAAATGTAACCAGTCATGAGGACGTCAACATCATATTTGCATGCTTTTTAAAAAAAATGTGGCGCAGTCTCTCTGTACGTTCAAGAAATATAATTTTCGGATGTTTGAAAGGTTTTTGATATTATGTTTATCTTCTTTAGTCATCAGTCAGGAGAAGTTGCCATGGCATACATTTTTTGGATGTTTGAAAGGTTTTTGATATTATGTTTATCTTCTTTAGTCATAAGTCAGGAGAAGTTGCCATGGCATATCATTTTTTGGATGTTTGAAAGGTTTTTGATATTACATTTATCTTCTTCAGTCATCAGTCAGGAGAAGTTGCCATGGCATCATTTTATAGAATGGACAGCGAGTCTAGCCACCTTCCCAGCATGCTCAGTGCTCTAGAGGAGCAGAACTTTCTCTTCCAGCTGCAGCTCAATAACCAGCCACAAGATGATTCAACTGAGGTAGATCATCAATCATTATGTAGTACATTATGTGGTAAAATTTTGTTTGGTACAGGCTAAAACATATATATCTCACAGCCTGTTTTTTGTGTATCTTCTTTCTGATAATTTAAAACTTTGATGTTATTTAAAAACAAAATAAATATTTTTAATAAAATGTCATGTTTCTGTTTGCTGCAGGGACTGGAGGTGCCATTAGTTGCAGTCTTACAGTGGTCTACTTCTAAACTGCCCTTCACCAACTTTATCTACACTCACTATAGTCTCCCCAGCGTGAGACTGGACCGGCCGCGCTTTATTATGACCGCCAGCTGTCCCAGTGCGGTCAAGGCCCGTGAGCATTTCCGAGTGCGATATACCCTCCTCAACAACTTGCAGGACTTTCTGGCAGTCCGACTAGTCTGGACGCCTGAAGGTGAGGACCTATATTATTTTCGTAAACAAAAACTGAAACTAAGACTAAAACTATTGGTCAAAGAACATTTTCGTAAACTGAAATAAAATAGAAATTTCAACAAAAACGAAAAACTAAAACTAAAACTAAACTAACAACAGTTACTGAAAAACTAACTGAAATAAAATAATAATTAGCAAAAATAAATCATCGTTTTTGTAATTAATAAGCTCTCATCCTGTACCGGACAATAACGCTTTTTCCATTCCACTGCGCTACTTTATTTTTCAATGTTTGACCGTTGCGCTCGAGTCTCGCGTCTTTTGCAGCGTCTTGAGCGTGATAGTTAAAATATGTTCAACTTTTAAAAGACTCGTCTCGAGACCTAGCGCATTTTTCCATTTCACTGCCCGTGTCTTTTCCCCGTTTCTTTAAAGCAAGGCAAGGCAAGTTTATTTATATAGCACATTTCATACACAATGGTAATTCAAAGTGCTTTACATAGAAGAAATTAAAATAATCAAAACAAATACAAAACCGCTTTCTGTGTGAACCAGCCCTAAGAAGCAGAAATGGCCAAATACATATTTCCATCATGTCTAGACCTTAGGCTTATCCAAATACAGCTGTACCTTAATTCCAAGTAGGATAACCATCTCATGTGAAACTGAACAAAATAGCACACATATTAGACAGGATACCACACTGAGCAGAAAACGCAAAAAACAAATAGCCTAGCATGTCTAGCCCACAAATAGTAAACTAATAAAGTAATAAAAGTAAACTAAATGTCTGGTCTGAATAGAACACATGAATATGAGTATAACTATGAGTATATGATATTAAAATATGCAATAGACAAAAAGCATAAATGGATTAATACAAGAATAATGTTTGAAAGGGTTAATCATAGAAATAACCATAAAAGAATAATCATACGCATATTTTTTCCTTTTTCTTATACACCATGTTTAACAAGATTTAATTTTTAATATGAATGAGTATGAATGAATAATTTTTGCTTTTAAGTTGCATTTGTTTGGTTCTTTGTTCAATCTCAAACAATTATTTTATTTTTTATTATTGAGAGGTTTGCACAAGAGTTAACTGTAAACTGCAACTGCAAAAATTAAACTTTGCTGAAATGAAATGTCTTTAACTGGAAGTGTTCTGTTAACTCTGCTAAACTATAATTACTAAAACTAAAACTGAAACTAAATATATAAAAACTAAATAGAAATGTGTTCACAAAATAAAAACTAAACTAAAACTAACAAAACCATAAATGAAACTAACTAAAACTCAACTTAAATTTATAGGAAATTTTAAAATGATATTAAAATAAAAACTAATTTAAAAATGCAAAACTATAATAACCTTGAGGACTGGTAAAATAGTAAAAAAAAAAGAGTGGCTTAAGTTGAAGAACAGAGTGGCCAGGGTTAGTGTCAGATGCTTTGATATACTGTATGGTAAGTATATGGACCAATATATTATGTTTGAAGCAGTGTTTTTTAGCAATTTGTTTAAATACTATTATAGTATTTGTAAATATTTTGAATTAGCTTTTAATTAGATATTTTCAGTATTTGTTTTAAGTTTTGTTACGAGGTTTTGTCATTTTATTCGTTTTTTTTTTACATTTAGAATTGGCTTTAATTTATTTTTATTTCACTTTTAAGTTTAGTACTTCAACTTATCTTATTTCAGTTAGTTGCCAAGGCAATATTTCTAATATTAAAATCTCCCCCATATTTATATTTTATTTCAGATTTATTTCAATTAACAAAAAATGTTTTTAATTCAAAACCGGAAACCCACCCAATCTGGCAACACTGCACCTGAATATAGCAATAAAGGTGAGAGGGCTTTAAGGAATGAGAGATTGCCAATAAATCAAGAAGTGTTGTTTGTGAAGTTGAGAAAAAATGTTTTGCAACACTATCAGTTATTGGCTTGATAAAGGCAAAGTAGAGAGCGAAGGTGAACATTTCTGAATGTCATTAGCTCATAGAGGGTGTGGTTCTTTCTTGTAGATGTAGATAGCTCAGAGTTTGAGTCTCCAGCTGTGACTATGTGAGTATTTGTAATGCCAGATGAGCTAATGTCAGTTAATACATCAAAGACGTACAAGCAAAAGAATCCTTCCTGACTGCATTGCAGATGGACAAATCAGCCTGTTTTAACTCATTTGTCTTTGATTGTAGGTTTTCTTTTATTCTTATGGAAATAGTCTTTAAGGTTATTGGAGTTTTTGCTTCTTTTTTATGCTTGTTTTGTTTTTTCATTTTTGGGACATTTTGCTTTTTTATTCATAAAGAAAGTGCAGAGAGGACAGGAAATGATGGGGAGACGCATCTCCTGCATGAGTATGCTGCTCATAGCTCCATGTGCCTGATGCATGTGTGCTAACTTCTTGATAATGGCTGAAGTGTTGTTGTTGTTTTTTACATCGCTTTTTATTGCATGTCCTTTTGGTTTTTGATCCTCCTTTTGTCTTCGCAGGTCGTGGACAGAAAGAGGATCCTGCGGTGAATGCAGTGGTGTGTCATTCTCCTCTCAGTAACCTGGGTTACTGTCGAAAAGGCAGTACCCTCTCCGTCAGTGTGGCTTTCCAGATACTCAGAGCAGGCCTTTTTGAGGTAAAGACTAGTCATTAAGTCTGTGTTGCATGTGAGCAATTCATTGTTCTGTTTCACTTCCTTCAACAAAACCAATGAACTGAATTACTGGATGTGAACACCTCAGTATCCGCTATTCTATCTCCTCTGTCTTTAGTTGAGTCAGCACATGAAACTGAAGCTACAGTTCACAGCATCCGTGTCCAACCCTCCCCCTGATGCCCGTCCTTTGTCCCGCAAGAACAGTCCGTCGAGTCCAGCGGTCAGAGACATTCTGGACCGACATCAGGCCAGTCTCAGTCTGGGCCGCTCTCAGTCCTTCTCTCACCAGCAACCATCCAAGTTTCACCTCACAAGGTATGCACATACACATTTACACATGATGATCTTCACATATTTTACATGCTGTAAATATGGTTTAATCTTTCTGTCTCTGTCTCTGTCTCTCTCTCTCTCTCTCTCTCTCTCTCTCTCTCTCTCTCTCTCTCTCTCTCTCTCTCTCTCTCTCTCTCTCTCTCTCTCTCTCAATTTTCAATTTCAATTTCAAATTAGCTTTATTAGCATGACTGTGTAACACAATGTTGCCAAAGCATATTAAATATAAATAATAAAACAAACAGTGAACATATATGTATAAATCATGTCATATGTAGCATTGTAAATATATAGATAAATAAACACAATCTATCTTAATAAATAGATAAATAAATACATTTGATCACTCTGGAGAATTAGCTGTCTCTGGCGTTGTGAATAGCTAGCACATATTTAGCCGCTAGTGCAGCTGTATTAACATCTTCTCCCAGTAAGAAGGACATTTTGACAGTGTCGCTCAGTTCATAGAATGATGGGATCAAGGCTTCAAATTTGGGCAGAAAAGTGTCTCTTATACTGGTATATTTAGAGCAGAAAAGCAGAAAGTGTTCCTCATCCTCTATGTGCTGTAGATCACAGTGTCTACAGATCCTCTGCTCTCTCTCTGTCCATGTCTGTCTATGTCTTCCTCTCTCTATCTCTAGATCATGGTCACTCAATCTGTATTTGGAGAGGATTTGTCTGTCTTTAAAATGTTTAATAAATAGATAACTGGCCAATTTAGTGGTTCTATTGAGGGTCGAGTAACATTGGAGTTTTTTCTGGAGGTCAAAATGAGCTTTTAGTGATTGATCATGAGTGTCTTTTAGATATGTGTGTATTTCTTTAACAGTAGTTGTGGGGCTGTAGCTGTGGTCAGTGGGGAGAGTAGTCTGATGGACGAGTTGAAGAGCGAGTGTGTGTAGAGGATGAGGTTCTGCTGAGCTTTCATTCTCTCTCTCTCTCTCTCTCTCTCTCTCTCTCTCTCTCTCTCTCTCTCTCTCTCTCTCTCTCTCTCTCTCTCTCTCTCTCTCTCTCACTCACACACACATACTATACACAAGTACACTATCGAGCTGTCTTTCTTGGGGGACTTTACCTTTAGATATTCATTTCATATTATAATTTTACTAAAGTCTCATTCAAAGTCTTTTTCTATTTTATTCTATTCTGTATGTATAAAACATATTTTTATTTCGGTTGACAGTCTTTTTAACAGTAAGAAATAATTAATTTAAAATATTTAATTTAGATTTGATTTTACTCACACAGTGGAAAGACAAAGATGAACTGCCAAACAACGTTTTAAATACATTCCAGATAATATTTTAATATTTAGTTAATAGTTCATATATTTAGTTAATATACAATAACAATAGACAACCATTTAAAAAGTGTTTTTTAAATAGTACATTCTTTATTCTATTCATACATTTTTTTTTTTTTTTATACGTTTAAAACGTTTTTCGCATCTGTAGCAAGCAGTTTGAATGGTGTTTAAATGGTGTTTTGACAATTCAGAGCCACCGAAATCACCGAAATCACTGTGTGCAAGGGCCTTAATGATGCTGAAAATTCATGCCATCACAGGAAAAAATTACATGTTTAACATATTAAAATAGAAAACAGTTATTTGAAATTGTAATAATATTTCATAATATTATTGTTTTGCTGTATTTGAGCAAATAAATGCAGCCTTGGTGATCTTAATGAACCCAAACTTTTAAACAGTAATATATATATATATATATATATATATATATATATATATATATTACTATTTCAAAATATTTTAAATTAATAGTAGAAACAAGTTGTCCTTCATAATTTCTCTATAAAGATTTTTTTATTTATACTAAATATTTAGCTGCCTTTATGTGCTATGAATATTTGTAGGTCCTTGATATCAAAATTCTACTGTTCTACGGCAGCATCCTGACTGAAATGGAACATCTTAGTTGACTGATTCAGAATTTTCTACATATTCAGGAACTCTGATATAGCATATGGCAAACTGGTACATCCTCTTACAACCCTCTCTTCACTATGTTTTCTTTGTCAAATCATGACTGTCTCATTTCTGCAGCACTGATCAATGTTCATGTTTGTTTGTGTCTTACAGGACAGGCAGTGTTATGGAGCGCAGGGCCATCACCCCTCCCGTGGGCTCTCCTGTTGGTCGGCCGCTGTACCTCCCTCCAGACAGGAACATTTTGTCACTTGACAAAATAGCCAAGCGTGAGTGCAAGGTGCTGGTTCTGGATTCACACACCTAAATGCACACGCACCCAGGGAGAGGAGTTACGGATATTCTCAAACTTTGGGGGAGAATCATGTGTCATGAAGTAGTGTAATTGGAAAAATGGTTTAATGTCCATTGTCTTTCAGTTTCTATTCTATAGGTATTTATTTTGTTCTTTTTACCAGCATTTATTGTTTACATGCTGTGCAGTGTGATTATTTTAAATAATTTCGATGCAATTTATGTTCAGCTACTGACAATTTTGACTGAAGGAATGAAAAGAAAGCATAAACACACAGGGTTTTTATTGTTTATAGGACGTTTCGCTGGAGTCAAGAAGTTCTGAAAGTAAAAAAGTGTATTTATGACTGTTTAAGGGAAGAATGGATGGTTATGGTTACCCAGACAACAACATAGTGTCGGCCCAGATCCCACCCACATCTGGTACGGATGGAATCCACATGTACCAGATGTTGCCCGGATCTGGGCCGACACTATGTTGCTGTCTGGGTAGTCATGCACAGATCAACATGGAATCTGCGCGCTCAGAAATTTCAGATTTCTGAAGAAACTAAAATTTCTCAAAGGATGTTGGTTTAATAGTTAAATAGTTTGGCTATTTTGGTAACGTTTTTAGCTACCAATTAGAGTCTAACATTCCATGAAACCCATTTTGCTCTTTAAATCCATTCTGTAAAACTGTCCTCAAAAATCAGTGCAGACAATATGAAGTCAATTTTACAATCCTATTGTGAAAGCATGTAACATGCGAATGTACGGTTTCTGTTTGCTGCTTAGTTTTGGATACATTTTTTTTTTTTTACATTTCATTTGTCAACACTGCCAGCATTTCCCTGCCCATGTTTGATTCCTCTTTGTCATTTGCATTCCACTTTTTAAAAGTGCTTTTATTGTTTTTCTTAAATACTTGAAAGATGGGTCGCAACTTTGTGCCTGTGGGCAATCAGAAGGTTTCTTTAATTTCCAGTCCTGTACACTGAAATGTTTTTTTGGTCTGGCCTTTATTATACCGTGCAGTGTAACTGTCACAAATATTCCTTATCCAGTCAATAGTCATACACACGTGTTGTTAAATTCATATTTATTTGATGTTTTCATTGAATTATTTCACTGTTGTAATGTTAACACTCCGGTTCATCAAGCTGCATTCAACTTATAAAGGTTTCCCATGTAATCACTCACAACCTTTCATTGCCTGAGAGCGGGAAAATCAAGTCATTTCTGGTTCTTGAAGGTGGAGCTTGTGTTATTGGCTGGTGCCATTTTATTTCTGCTCCTCCTTTTATGGATTTAGAAACATTCTGTCACATTGCTACTGCAGTGTGTGCTCTCAAATGAGAATGATCTTATCCCTCTCCCGCTAGATATCCAGGAACAAATTCCCGGTTAGTGTCAGGGCAGATTCTGGCCATACAGTACTATTGATTTCTATGCATTTAAGCTGAACATTTGACTTTCACAGAGAGCTTCATATCTACAACCCCTTTGGCTGTAGTGATAATCAATTATCAACTGGTGTAAAGTGTCACCCCATCGAGCCATTTAATGGGGTTATGATTGATTTCTTTGCATCAATGTTTACATGTGAGGACTACTGAATCATCCTTAGGACTGAAAAAGCTTTTCTTTTGTTGTGGAATATTGCACATGGTTTTATATTGTCTCTGAATATAGGACCTTGAATGTTTAATTTTTTCGAACTAAAATCTTTGGGCAGACTTCTTATTCTGCAGAAATGTAACACACTGATCCAAAACCATATTGTGGATGTGGATAAAATGTTTTAATATAAACACTGTGATGTTTTTTTAATTTTCAAATTCTCATTTCACTTGTTATTTGCATCTTGGCCAGGTTTTTTTAATTTTTTTGACTATGTATTTGTTATTATTTTATAGTGAAAACTTGTGAAGAAAGGTCACTTAGCACAATTAGACCGTTTATTGCAGAAGGAAATGTTCAGAAAACGTTTGGTATACTATTCTCCAAGGCATCAATTTATCACATTTCATTTTGGAGACGATCTTGTTTTTTGTGAGCACTTTATTTACATTTTTGTAACTTATTTTATTGGGGGGAAAAGAATGTTCAAACAAAGGACCATATGCTTTGAGTTAAAAACATTTTTTTTCACACGGAACAATTATTAATTGAAGTGGTGGGGATGAGAAATGCCAACTCTAACCACTGGATTTACTCTGTCTGTATAAATATACTGAGGTTAGAAGTTGTGCAAAAGGTATCAGAGCTGTTGAGGCAATATATGTTGAGTATTGCGCTTGTATTGTGTTTTTGGACTACTTGCATTTTTTGAATGGCAAAGACTTGCCAAGAAGCTCTTCTGGAGGACGTTCCTTGTGGCACTCAATCATATAGATAACTAGTCGACAAAGACAATTTTTACTTTTCTGCTCTATGAACTGCTGCTTTGCGCATTTTTGTTTTTATACAGCTTTAATTACAATGCTGTTTAAAGTGTTAACAAAAGTGTTCAGAGTTGTTGGAAATGTGTGTTGTTGGATATTGGATTGTTGCACTTGAACAAGTTGAATAAAAGCAGTCAGGGCATAAATCGTCCTGTTAACTTATTTAAAATAATAATAAAAAATTGGCATAAAAGGACAGAAAATATAATTTATTTCATATCAGATGTTCACAGACATTTGAAAATTGCACTTTTTTCCCCAATCATATCGCACCTCACACCAAAAATTACAATAAAGTTTACAAATAAGTTACTGAAAGGTTGATAAACTATTAACAGAGGTTTTGCCAGTTACTTCACAAAGACATATAAAGTGAATAAATATCAGCAAATCAATGTCAAAAAACAGTTCAGAATGTTGTTGCCTTCAGCTCGCTGTTGTCTGCTCCCTGCTTACTATCATCCAGATTGTCATAGGGATGCTCTGTGAACAAAAACACTCATATTAAAGCTCATATTATACTTCTCATAGTTTGTTTTGGAAAGACAATCAGTTATCACGTACCCGTTTTGCTCAGTTCAATTTTACTTGACTCATAACTCATTTTCTTGCGGCTGTGTAAAAAGAGATAAAAAAATCATACATTATATGATATATTTTAAGTAAATGCTTGGCTTTCTACGTTTTTGACATCATTGTATGATCAGTGTTTTTGATAAGAGTTTATTCTTTAAATGGGCTTTACCAGCACTTCTTGTAAATGCACACAATTGCAGTGACTATGAGGATGACGCCAAGCGGCACAAGGACTCCAATCAAGATGATAGATGTTTTATCTATAAAACAGCAAGCAGGTAAAAACTCTGATTACACATCACTGGCATATATGGTTTCATTTTTAAGCATTAAAGAATACAGTATGTTCACAATCACTTACCCAGGCCTTCCTCATCCTCAGTGGGGACTTTAAAGAGCTCACAGTTTGTGCCTTCAAAACCTTCAGCGCAAGTGCAGGTGTACCCAGAACCCTCTGTTTTTACCACACAGGTACCATCGTTCTGACAGGGTGAGCTCAAACATGGACTCACTGAGAGAGATAGAGAGCAAAAGAAGTTAAAAATCAGTGCACTACTCTTCTGAAGCATCTGTAATATGATAATGAATCCACATAATATCCTATCCGATATTATTTGTAGACTAAGAAAGGTCTCAAGCTATGCATGATATATTTATCAAGTATATTTTGAGCTAGAATGTCCAATATTCATTGATAAAAATGCTTTAAGAGTAAAGTAATCTCAATCAAAAGCTCACTTTTATAACAGTCGCGTTTGGTCTCGTACACAGTGCAGATCTCGTTGTCTCCACAGCTCTTTGTTTGACACACAGCCCCAGTTGTAGTACACTCACAACTCTGTGAACAATCGTCTGTCACAAATGTCTCCTTGAGCTGTAGGGTTCAGAGAAACATGTTCAGCAAGTGCAATGTCTTGTTTCATCTTTCGGTGCAAATCATCTTACATCATAACCTTTAACCTGTAGTATTAACATGCATCAAAAGCCTCACCAGATAGTAGCGCTCTAGGTAAGTGCATCCACACTGGCTGTAAGGCACACAGTCTTGGTCGCTCAGGACAAAGCCAGAGGCGCACTGACATCCCTCCACACATTTTGTTTGCTCGCAATCCGAAGGAGCCGCAAGGTCTGCGCAGGACGCCGGGCATGGAGTCATACAGAAGGAGTAGGTGCTGTTGGCCCCACATTGCAGATCTAAATGTGATCACAAACACACACAATCAGGAAAGTATATGCGAAAGAGGAAACGTGGATATACAAGTCGAATTCAGTTACAGTTTTTTACATACACTACCAAAAGTTTAGGGTCAGTAAGATTTTTCGATGTTTTTGAAAGAAGTATTGGTAAGCCTTTAGAATACTGTTCCTTCATTAATAATTAACTACACAGGAACAAATGAGTAACGCACTATTAACATTCTAGTAACCACTATTAACTAACAAGATGCTAACTAAGTATTTAGTAATAGCGCTAAGTTGAATGTGGTAGCTCACTATTAGCTTCCCAGAGAACTACTATATACAGGTTTATAATTAACATGAATAATGCATAATATATAATAAAAAGGTAACGGTGACCCACTACTAAGGAATCAAGTGTTACTACGTCCTTCTAAAGGAATTACTAATTATTTGGATCAGTATTCTAAAGTGAAAAACATGATAACTACCTAATATTGACTGAAGTCTTTGTAAGATTTTGAGATTTTTGTAAGATTTTGAATAGTAATTCCCTCCGATGGATTTGGTAACACTTTAGTCAATCATTACTAGTGTGTTCCCATGATCTTCACTTTAGAATACGGATCCAAATGATTAGTAGTTCCTTTAGAAAGATGTATTAACACTTGAGTCGTTACTATCCAAAACCTTACAAAAACCTCAAAAGCTTATGACTTCAGTCAATATTAGGTAGTTATCAAGCTTTTCACTTTAGAATACTGATCCAAATTATTAATAGTTCCTTTAGAAGGATGTAGTAACACTTGATTCATTACTAATGGGTTACCATTACCTTATATTATACATTATGGATTATTAATATTATTATCAACCTGTATATAGTAGTTCTTAGTAGTCTTCAGTGAGGTATGAAAAATAGTAGTTAATGATTAATAGTGAACTACCACATTCGACTGAGTGCTATTACTTACTAATTCGTTAATCAGAGTTTCTTGTTAGTTAATAGTAGTTACTAGAATGTTAATAGTGCATTACTCATTTGTTCCTGTGTAGTTACACATGGTGTTATTATCAATGTTGAAAACAGTTGTGCTGCTTAATATTTTTGCGAGAAAAAATCTTACTGATCCCAAACTTTTTGGAAAGGTAGTGTGTGCTACAGGCTGGATGAAGTTTGCATTTATTTATGTTTATTTTTTCATTTTTTCATACCACACTTCAGCGCCTCTCTCCATTGCTTTATTTGGGCACCCTGATCTTGGCAAGCCCGAGCGTAGACGGCATAATTTTCACAGCGCAGTACTTCACTGCCCTGCTCAGCACACAGGTCAAACACACAATCCCTGCAATACACACACACACACGGTCATGAAGAACTGTGAATCCGTACCAACACCCATAAATCAAGCGTTTATCTCAGTCAAGCACAATGCACATAACACATGCACTCGTTCAGAGTTAGTGCAATACACACCCACTACGCATTATGTTATTCTCTAACTCACACAGTACTTGCTGTCGCTAGAGTTTACACACCCTCACACACAAACAAATGCACAGATTACTCACTCCTGGAACACGTTTGGTTCGACCACAGCATTACAGGCAGCGAAAGGACCAGCAGGGTCACTGAGTGCCCCACACTGTTTATTCCCGTTCAGCTCAGTCAGCTGAGCGTCTGTGCAGCCCGTCGTCTCAAACCCTGAATCTGGCTCGGCCTCCACTTCACGCCTAATCGTAAAGACAGGATTTTTAGGAGTAGGATGAATTCAGATGATTAGTTTCAGGTTATTTTATATGGTTAGGGTGAACTCCATGAGAATTTTCATCCCAGCTGATTTATAATGCATAATAGCATAACAGATAATCTGATTCTCCCGTACTTGTGCAGGTGCACCATCTTCGGTAGGGGTGTGATACGAAGACTTGCCCCATTTTTGTCAGTTACTCTCCAACTGTCTCCAAACTCGTTGAGGTTGCGCGTAACTGTGCCGTCTGGTTTTGTGTACTCATTACTGGTGCGTCCATCATAATTACCACACAGACCGAGCACACGAGATCTGTATACACTAGGAAGACTCACCACTTTAGGTGAGAGGAAGAGAAAGAGAGAGAGTGTTTGTGATTATATCCTTGATGAATTGTTATAATGTTCATTTTAAGTTTGAGATTGGGTCTTGTACCTCCTTGGGAACTGCCATCAAATCGCACAGAAAGGCCAAAGTCAGTTGTGAGCATAACAAAGCGAGACTTGGTTTTTATGTTAACTCCCTGTACAGGACTGTATGGTAGACCAACTTTCTCGCCATTGACCTGATGGAGGAAAACAATGCAGAAGACTCCTATGATGTGGCATTTTACTATATAGTGTAATCCATGTATGAAGTAGCAGTGGTTTGAAAGTCTGTTAGATACAGCTATTAGGACTGACTACATATCCCATGATTCTCTCACCAGCACTTTCTTCTTCTGTTGCATGCGAACACTAATGCCGTACACGTCCACATAGACCTCGTGCAGAAGGGACACCCGACTGATTCCTCCCTGCCTTTGGTTTTTGCCGCGGACACTGAAAGGGGTGAGGGAGCTTGGCAGATTGTTTCCTTGGGTTAATACATACGTATACGCTCCCTGGTAGTGGTGATTGTAATTGTCAAAGGTTCGATAGTGAGGGTCCCCAGCAATATTGCAGTCATCGAATTCTGCGAAAAGTCAAATAAGTTTGAGTTAGTTCATCCCAGGCTGAGGTGGACATTAAGACTAATCTGGAAACTGCTTAGAGATGCATTTCTTTAGATGCCCACCAGGCCCAGTCATTAACCCCGAAAACTTTAAGTATTCCTTGCTGTATAATGTGGCTTAGCTGTCCATTATGCCATTATTTTGGACTAAATATCTACTCGCTTTTGGGTGTGATATAGCAATGTTGCTATATGCAAATGTAAATATTTAAATATTATATTTGACAAGACTAGCAGTCAAAATCTTCCCAATTTTTTTTTTGTCTTTAAATGTAAGTTTTGAATTCAGAATTCAGCTCAGATGGTCTGAATTAAAGCTGCAGTCCGTAGCTTTTCCTCTTTGTCGCCATCTCTCTGTTCGAAATCTGTAACTGCAGTGATTCGCGGAATTATCATCTTTACGTGGGTTGTAAATCGGCATGAAACAGCGCGGATGAACACAGTGTTTTGAGGCGAGTGGTGCTGTCAGTCACCGCGCCGTGTGGATACTGTCATACAGAATCACAGATTCACTTTTTGAAAGTTTGACCAACATAAGAATTTTCATAAGAAAATGTCTTCTGAACAAGTAACATCCATTTTTGTTCTGACCAACTAAGGGGGAAAAAGCATTCGACATGATAAGCTTCGTTAGATTTAATCAACGCGATTTACAGCAACCGTGCAAATTATAGCCTACTTTGTTCTCAAATTGTTCATGTTAACAACATCACATCAGCATTGCGTGACTAATGTTAAATTTAATGTGTTTTATGATTACCTGGGTAGTTCAGAATTCATATTCTCCATAATAGCAAAACGAGAAAGGCACAACAAAGGAAACTCCATAACTGTGTGAATTAAGAAAACGTACTGTTACACGATTGAACTATTGAAATGTCTTAACTTACTTGTTCAGCAGAAAAAAGCTGTCTCTTCTTCCGTTTCGAACCCCTTCAAAACACGGAGTTCAAGCACTTTTCAAAAGCCCCGCCGATGTTTAAATCCTTGTGTTCGCATGAGACGGTTTCTTTCTCTTTCTCAAGGCACCTTAAATCCGAGGTAAGAAGTCTTTTGGGTTTTATAACTGCTGAATCTCCAGTTGACACTGATGATTGTTGTTTGGATCTTTCTGGATGCCATAAGTTTAATTATGTAAAGTGCTGCGAGAAAAGCCTATACATCTAAACATCTCGTCACGCGCAGTATAGCCGGCTAGCCGAAACTCCTTCTTTATGTGTACGGGTGTGACGTAATGACGCAAAGACATGCTCGAATTTCCCGCGGAAACCCACCAGTACCACTGGAATTAAAATCATTATTACAAGCTAACCGTTTTGACTCTAGCTATGGCAAGCAGATAGTTTTGACCACTGCCAGAATACGTTTTTTTTAATATAATTATTTTGGATTATTTTTAAAGGAGCTGTATGTAAGATTGTGGCCAAAACTGGTACTGCAATCACTTTCAAATTACTGTAGAGCGGTGTATCCCCTCCCCCTCCTCCCTGACTCGAGGTTGCCAGATAGGCTGCAGGATCCAGCAGGAACGTAGTCTGCTCCAAGAAGTGGTAACTAGAGCAGAGCTGGCAACCCGGATCCCGCAACACTACTGACTTTGTGATTGGTAGATAGGTGGAGGGTGGAGCATCAGACCAAAACACAACATGACAACATCAACATCAGTTGAGGGCTGCAACTTCACTTTTTAAATGACAATATCCTGGCCGGACTACTGTTGTCAGTGATATAAGTATTTGAAATGAACATGATTTCTTAATGTCTAGTGACATATCAGGGCCATTTTATGATTAATTGAAATAAATTTCTTACATACAGCTCCTTTAACTTAAAAAAGCTACGGACTGCAGCTTTAAGCAATTTATTTTGACATTTTTCCCTCATTCTTAGTGTTTCACATTGTAAAACTCACTCTCAGGTTTGCAGTAACGGTCTCCATTGCTGTCAAGATCACAGATTGAGTTCTCATTGCATTCAAAGGATGTGCAGGACAGCAGTCCTCCAAGGCTGCAGCTGCACCTCTGTTCGCAGTGGTCAGTTATCCACGAATCTCCCACCTGAAATGTATACCAGGCATTACTATTATGTGACATATAAAATAAAAGCACAGCCATCTTTACAGCACCTTTTTCTAATATATTCTTTAAGCATCATGTCTCTGCACATTCTACATTTACATAGAAAATGATATCGATCATGAGATGAAGAATAGAAGAGTTTTGAAGAATAGAATAGAAAAGGATAGATTTGAAGAATAGAAGTCTTCAATATATACACTACCATTAAAAGATTTGGGGTCAGTAAGATTTTTAATGTTAGAAAAAGTTTCTAAGAAGGCTCACTAAAGCTGTATTTATTTGAACAAAACAAAAAAATAACAGTAAGTGTCATTTATTCATGTGATGCAAAGCTGAATTTTCAGCAGCCATTAGTCCATTTTTCATAGTCACATGATCCTTCAGAAATTAGGAAACATTTATGTTTATTATCAATGTTGAAAACAGTTGTGCTGCTTATTTTTGTGGAAATAATTAAGATAATTGTCTTCAGGATTTTTTAAAGAATGGAAAGTTCAGAATAATTTGTAACATTATTTTTATTTTATTTTTACAGAATTTCTGATCAAATTAATGTGCTGAATAAAAATATACATTTTCTTTCACACACACAAAAAAAAATATCAGACCAACAACATTTGAACAATAGTGTAGTATCTCAATATTTCAGTCAACCAACATGGCATTCTAGTATTAACCCTCTGGGGTACTTCATTTATGACTCACACTCAGGACTTTCGGGTCAAAAATGACCCGAAGGGCGGCATTAAGATACATTTTATTTGAGTAAAATCAATGAAATATATTTTTGTTCAATAATATTTTTTCTTTTCTTTTTTGGTGTTTTGAGATAATTTTATGATTTATAATTAATATTTATGCAATAATTAAGACCCATTTTTTCCCATTGAATATAATAGAAAATTTATATATATATATATAATTAAAAAATTTTTTTTATTAAAGCTGTATTTCATTTTAGAGTCAAGTCTAGGCCTCATGAAAGCAATTTTTGAAATGAGATCGGAGCCATCTGGTGGACACACTGAGCATTTATCACGCAATAGCACATTTTTACCACTAGTGGATTTACAGCTCTCTGTAGAAACCTATGGTAGAAACACTCTAGTGATTTTTTCACATATTGTTTAATTTTTTTTAGGTTGTTGATTTGAATATATAATAACAGATTCTCAAAGACTATTTTTGTCATTTTTTTTAATTTTTAATTTTTTTTTTTTTTTTTTTGGTTGGTTTAAATGGTAATTTGAAGTGGCAGTTTTACTTTATAATACAGTCAAACCTGAACACTGCATTATAAAGAGAACATTTTGCCACCCATTGTTTTAAGAGATTCACCCCTTCACTGTTGTGTGCTTTTTTCTGCATCCTGGCTGTTTTGTAGATTGTATGCACAAAAAAACTCTGTATTTTCAAATTTTTGCCAATTTCCCATTCATTTCCTATGGGGGTCATTTTTGACCCGAAGGTCCTGAGTGTGACTATTTTGTTTTAAGACCACTTAGACTTTTCAAATCCTTTCCCCAATTTTTTTGGGTGTTCATATACCAAGTACCAAAAAAGTCACCAAGTTTTGGACCATTCCGATGAAGCTACGATTTTTAACATTTTTTTATTTAAACGCTTCGGGTCATTATTGACCCGAAGTACCCCAGAGGGTTAAAGTGATAGTTCACCCAAACATTTTGTCATCACTTACCCTATTCCAAACCTAAATAAGTTTCTTTCTTCTGTTGAACACAAAAGAAAATATTTTAAAGAATGTTAGTTTGGTAATCAGACAGTTGACGGTAGCCATTGACTTCCATAGTAGGAAAAAAAATACAATGGAAGTCAATGGCTACCGTCAACTGTCTGGTTATCAAGATTCTTTAAAATATCTTTTGTGTTCAACAGAAGAAAGAAACTCATACAGGTTTGAAACAACATGATGGTGAGTAAATGATGGCAGAATGTTCATTTTTGGGTGAACTATCCCTTTAAGGAAAGCTGATTTTTTATTTATTTTTTTAGCCCCAAAGTTTACTCACCTCATGATACTCTCCATTGCTGTCAACACACCCACAGCTTGAGAGGGGAACACACTTGCCATCACTTAACACAAAGCCTGCATTGCACTGGCACCCTTCAACACAGCTATTGGGTGGTAATGGGCAGAATATGGGGAAGAGGTCGGCACAAGTTGGAGGACATGGTGCTGTGCAGTCAGAATAGTGACTGTTTGGTGGGCATGGGAGAGCTGGAAATAAAAACACACAAAGGAAAGAGGTATGATGCATTGAATTTAAAATGACAATGATTCTCTGACATATTTAGAGACCATTTCTCCCAGTTGTCACCCAGCTCAGCATAACATTCTCAGCACATCTCTTTTCTTCCCTCTTTCTCTTTCACTTACGGCAGAATGTGCTGTTCCTCCAGCTGATCGTGATTCCAGCACTATAACAAGCCTGGGCGTAAGCCTCAATGTTATTGCACAGAGTCGACTCCATGCCATCATATTCGCACATGTCATAAACACAGTTCCCCAGAAAGGCTTCTGGAGGAATGAGAGAGTGACAGGGCTTGAAGAGATCAGACAGGATCGAAGCTGCGCATTGTGACTGGAAGATTTCTTCCTCATTCTCGTCACAGTTGGGTGTGTCTTCAGGTCTTGGATCAGGTTTGCAGCTGCGGATGGAGGAACAAGGAACGGATGAACACAACAGAAGAATGAAAAAAGTGAAACTCTATTCATTTTTCACCATGATGCCTCAAATTCATATGCATCATAAGTGCATTTATAATGCTGCTATCTATCTAGGTTTGTTTATTTCTGAATTATGGAGAGGTGCTTAGAGGCACCAAATAATTTAACACTCACCCAGGATCACTGTCTCCCTCTGCTTTCCAGCTGTCACCAAGTTTAATGGCATTTTCAGCTGGTTTGCCATCAGGCATCAAGTTATCGTCAGATGAATCGCCGTTGTAGTTACCGCACATTCCACACACCTATAAAATAAATGTTGAAGGACAGAAAAAGTGTGATTTGCTTCTTGTGGATTTAATGCAGTTCAGATATTCTGACAAAAAGGGAACCGTCTGGTTTATTAATCAAATTTCAGTATCAAAATAATATATTTAGTACAAAAACAAAGTAGAGTGATGTTCTAGTTATGTTTTTGTGTAGTTTCATACCTTGTTGAAATAGTCTCCAGGCACTGTGATCTCAATATGGTGCACTCCATCGAACTTCACAATCAGGCCAAAGTCAGTGTCTAGTATGGTGTTTACTCCACTGGTAAACACCCGTGCCTTGGCTGCAGTGATGTCGTAGGGGGTCTTTATCCTGCGTTCATTCAGCTAGTCGGAGGAGAAAACAAACGAGAGTACAGGCCAGAGATTTAGCACAATAATATCATTGAATACATATGGTTTAAAATCGTATCTATTATATTATGCAATATTCACTGTGTCTAAACAGGACATGCAAATGCATAAGACATCCAAATGCAACATAGTTAAAACCACTACTCCAGCTCTTCCTCTTTCCTTCTCGGACTCTCACCAGTACTCTTCCGTTCTTGCTGATGGTGATGTTGGCAGTGGGCAGGTAGACGGTCACGGAGCGAACATACGAAGCTTCTGGCTGGCCGCGTTCTTCGTTCTTGGCCACAATGGTGAAGGGTGTCACCATAGAGGGGTTGCATATTGCCACCAGCGTGTAAGTGCAGGTACCCATGAAGGTATGCATGATCCCGTCAAAGGTGTAGTAGTGAGGATCACCAGCAATGTGGCAAATGCCCTTTCCTGCAAAGAAGGCCAGTTAGTAGTCTGTCTGACAGATACAGAGAGATGTTTTTGGTAGAGTATGTACCTGTATTCACACAGCCCAGCTGACCATCATTGACTTTACATTCCTGAGCGGGACCACACTGCCATGCCTCGCATTTCACGGTATTGAAAGGTGAACAAACACAGCGCTCTGTGCAGTCATCTTTTGTGAACCAGCTGTCTCCAACCTAAAAAACAAATTGAAATTAATTAATCATTTGATTGCACAAAGGAAACTAGAAACAAAAATTAACTGAATTAAACTATACAGTTTTTTTGTGATAAAATTGTTTAAAACTTGAAAAAGTGTTAACGCTTTAGATTACAGCCCGGAAAGTATGAATTTACAACGGAACTTTCGGTAATTGTAGTGTACCTATAAAGTACTTAAATGTAAGTATAAAGGAACAATATGTAAAGTTTGGGGAATAAAGGGAAAACAACCAGGAGAATTAAAATATGATTTATACTGTAAGTATTATATAACTAAGGGTATTATATAACTAGTACTTATTCTACTATTATGATACAACAATCTTACTTTTTTTCTTGTTTCAAGGCAAGTAAAGCTAAAACGATTGTAATTTTTTGTAAAATACTGGGAAATATACTCTTGTTCCATGTAAGTGGTGCTTGTTTACCCTCTTGTTTCATGTAGTTACAGGGTAAGTGTGACATTGCGGGCCGTAAATTAAAGTGGTGCTTGTTACCCTCTTCTTCCATGTAGTTACAGGGTAAGTACAATAAAAATATATACACAATCTTATATCACTGACTCGGAAACCTTTATTTGAAAAACAACTTAATTCAAAACAGATGAACATGGAACAAGAGGGTAACACGCACCACTACATGAAACAAGAGTATCTTTCCCCAATATTTAAGCAAAAATTGCAATTGGTTTAGGTTTCAGTGCACTTTTGTTAAAAAGATTACTGTATAAATGCAAATTACACATGTACCCTGTAATTTTTAAAAAGCCTAAACAGCATGTATTGGTTCACCATTATTAAAAAAGGGTATGTTCTTGCTAAGTTGCTCTCAAATGTAAGATTGTTGTATCATAATAGTAGAATAAGTACCCCTTAGTTCTATAATACTTACAGTATAAATGATTTTTTTATTCTCCTGGCGCTTACCCTTTTATTCCCCAAACTTTACATATTGTTCCCTCATACTTACATGTAAGTTCTTTATAGGTACACTATAATTACAGAAAGTTACACTGTAAAATCGCTTTAATTACGCAGTACTTTCCGGGCTGTAATCTAAAGCGTTACCGAAAAAGTAAAAGTTTCATTCAATCTTCTAAAGAACCACTCACAGGCCTGTAGTTGTTGTCTCTGTCAGTGCAACCACACTCCTTGAAGGGCACACATTGGTCTCCACTGAGGACAAATCCAGGGTCACACACACATCCCTCAACACAGGGCTCAGTACAAGTGCCTTCAGATCCAGGGTCCTGACAACTGGCTGGACACGCTGAACCACAAGGCTCATAGTGACTCCCAACCTGACATTTAATAGCTGCAAGAAATGGAAATAAAGGAGAGGTGTTCAATAAACAGATAAGAACAATGAGAACAAATGAATGAAAATACTGGGAATAGGATAGACGAGAAACTGGAGACAATGGCCGGAGAAGGAGAGACAAAAGTACAACTCAGCCACTTTAGCAACAAAAGAGAGAAACAGCACCTATTGATGGCTCCCTAATTGAAGGGTGCAAACTACAAAGTCTTAAAAAGGATACCAGGATACAGTTAATAGCAGGTTTTAAAGGGCGCTTTACAGAATGCCTGTAGGGCTCAAACACTTACGGCAGAAGGTGTTATTTCTCCAGTTAATTGGCACCCCAGCTTGAGCGCACAGGTCAGCATAGCTTTGAACAGCTTGGCACAGTGCCACTGTGGCGCCACCGGTGCCACACTGATCAAACACACAGTTCTCAAAGTAAGGCTCGGGAGGCACCACTGCATGACATGGCTTGAAGATTCCTGGGAAAATAATAATGAATAAAGCTTTAATGGTGCAAAAAACAGGTGTCAGAAGAACGGCTCTATAAAACTGAGAAAATCAATGAAATGAACAGATGTGCTGGAATCGAAGCATAGATGATAAATGTTGCCTAGGCAATTAGCTGAAATAAATAAGTTTAAGTTTTTTTTTTAAATATTTTGATTTATTTCAGATAAAGTTTTTTTTAAAGCTACAATTTTTAATATCAGTTAACTATAATAACTCTGGCATAATCCACAATTTCTAAGTATAACAAACAATCCAACCTGAGGGGAAGAAAGTGGACAATAATTATAGGTGATTGAGAAAAGAAACACTAAGCCCCAAAACACTGTTAAATTATTATATCCTGCAACCAAATCATATGCTTATTTGAAATTATTTGGGGGGAAAAAGCACATAATGAATAAGAAACAAATTAAATAAAACACCTACGAAAAATAGAACAGAAATTTTTAATTGTGATAAAGCCTTTTAAATGTTTTATGTATTTGATCAGTGACCTCATCATCAAAGTGTTTTAAATGTATGTTTGAGTGTATGTGTGTCCCACCATTTGGATCGGTGATCATGCCACAGCTAGTAGGTTTCGTAGCTTCACTCTGGATCTTGTCATCACATTCAATGTCTCCTCCGCCATGAGTACAACTATGCGAGATACGAAAGGTATGAATGATTAAAGCTTCAATGATAAAAAGAGCATATGTATATTAAAATAAATGAACAAAACCTTACTATTACTTGTGCAGTGCACAGTCAAATTTGCTTTTAACTTACTCGGGTCGGTCATCGGGCACCTGCCAGCTCTCTCCAAGCTCATTGGTGCTGTCTGTTGGCTTTCCATCTGGCTTGATGTTGTCATCATTAGGATTATCATTATAGTTTCCTGTAATATATTATCATCATTTAAATGAATCATATAAGACTATTAATATTTGGTAGTAGCAACTCTTGAGCTCTTGAGTCTTCATTATAATCATCAATAAAGTGGGATAAAATTGAATTTGCAGTCTTTACCACAGAGTCCACATAACAGTCCGCTGTAGGAGGAAGGCAGGGTGACATCTGCATGATGATTTCCATCAAAACGGACGCGCAATCCAAAGTCTGTCTCAAGCACCACAAATTTGCCACTTAGGAAGATCTTGATACCGTTTGGAAGTGTGACAGGCACAGTGACCTGAACTCCATTCACCTGCAGGATGTAGGAATAAGGTAAGCTTACGTATGCACCACAGGTCTGATCTTCTCTAATCTGTTATTTAGATCTCACAAATCTCAGAAATGTCCCTTACCTGAACTTTGCGACCCTTGCCCAAAATGACCTTTGTGTCATGGACATTGATGATAACAGATCTGACATAAGACACTTTCTTATTATTGTCTCTGTGCTCGTTCTGTGTCTCCACAGAAAAGTATGGCAAGCCGGAGGTCTCATTACAGGGCTTAGTGAGGGTGTAGGAGCAGGCACCCATGAAGTGATGTACTTTATCATCAAAGGAGTTATAATGAGGGTCACCAGAAACAGAGCAAATGCCTGTACCTAAAAGAGATAAAAATGGGGAGATAAAAAAAAATTAGTTCCATGTCTCAACAGGTTTGTGCAGAACTCCATGTGTGTATGTGATAAGATGTGTAAACAAATATACCAGTGCTAAAAACTGTACTAAGTGTAAACCAGTATATATTTGTTACCAAGTGGTTTGCAGACATAGTCTCCATCTTGAAGTTGGCAACTCTCAGTAGGAAGACAGCTGGTGTTGTAACACTGAATAGTTCCTCCACCCTCACATGTACACTTCTGAGTACAGCTCTCCAGATACCAGCTCTCATTCACCTAAACATGGCCACATTGAGAGGAATGTGTTAAAACATCAACCACATTTCTTCTTTTTTAAAACATGAATGCCTTATTTTAATAAAATAAATCTTCACTATGTTTTAAGCAATCCTATAGACTATATGAACGCTAATAGAATGGATTTTGATTTATCCCAGTGACTCGATTCATTTGATCGGTTCACCAAAAAGGTTAATTAAGCCAAATGATTTGTTCAGTGACTGTGTTACGCCAGTAGGTAGCGAAAAGCGTCTTACTGGCTGCGTCCGAAAGCTTAGGCAACTTAGGCAAATTGCCCAATCAGGCAATAGGTGTGTTTGACTTGAAGAGGCGCTGCACAGACTGATCGGTGTATGACATCAAAGTACCGTGAGAGCGATTAGAGAGCAGATGGCTCCGTATGCTTTTGAATCGCTCATGCGATACAACAACCGGCCCTCAGGGCACCACTACAATTTGAACGAATGCACCTAATGACTGCGGAATGTGATACGATCATTGGATTAAGACGTGTCTCGCATAGCAGAGGCAGCATTATTTCTCTGCCATTCTGCAGTTGGTTATAATTGGCATTTTTCAGCTTTCCGATGCAGCCGTTGTGTTGTGTTGTTGAATTATTTACTCAACCTATTCGTTAAAACATCCAGTCGACTGAATATTTGCTTATCCTTTATTATAATTTGTCTGATATAACCATCCATTTTAATTCTAATTCTAATAACTATGTATTTTTAATTTTATAATTTTTTCTAGTTAATTCCAATAAACTATCTGAAAGTGACAAACACAACAACAACAGCATAAATAAAACAGAAAACAATCTCCATTAAAGTATTGATGTGCATAATTTATTCACGTCGCAGTGCATGGCTGGGAACTTGCGCATCGCATTAATCACAGTATTGTTTCAAATGTGCTCAGATTGGACAGACATACAGAAGGTAAGTCATGAATAGTTTTTATAGTGTGGCTTTTTGAGTTGGTGCTCTTGCTGTTTAGTGTTTAAAGCATTTTTAATGACAGACACAATGTGTTTGTCACGTTTTCTGAAGAATAATATGACACACTTGAAAAACTATGAAAAACAAAATGTCATAGAGTGAAAAAAACGAGCAATTAATATGCAAACTATAGTTTCTATGAATATCTGCTCTTCAAGAGGTCTGAATATTTATTTATTCTATAAGACCTCATTAACAGAGAAATACATCAATAACATCATGGATGATCCGAGAACATGGGACATTTTTAAATAACTTGTCATGGTTGCAGTGGTTTTGTGGATGTTTTGATCAAAATTATGACAATTATTTTCATAATCTCGTCCATGGCCCCAGAAGCCCACGGGTCGGCCCTGGTTTTAAACTCACTGGGTGGTAGGAGCCTGAGGGGTCCACACAGCCACAGTCTTTAGCAGGAACACATTTGTTGTCACTGAGGATGAAGCCAGGGTCGCACTCACAGCCCTCTACACACTTCTCACTGCAGCCCGGTGGTCCATTGATACCCAGACATGTCTCTGGACAGGAGCTCACACATATGGAGTAATGGCTGTTTGGAGGACATACCAGAGCTGGAGAAAAATGAGGAAAAACATCATGAACTGATGGTGAAAATAAGGTTAAAGTGCGGATGCATTGTTTGTGGAGTATGTAGTTTCCCAGTCTCATGTCCCCATCCCCATGTGACAGCATTCCTGTCTCTACCACTCTGGCCTTTAAAGGCATAAAAGCTTCATAAATAATAAAAACAATCAGGCTAAAGTTAACGTAAGAGTTCAACTAGCTGTCCTATTTAAAACCCCTTGAACTGCATTTACTTCAATAATTTATTTTGTGCATTAGAGAGAGCAAGCTAGCTTCACTGGGAGTATGAAATGTTATTCTTGCACGGATGCATGTTGCCAAATTTTGCTGCTTTATCATATTCTCAATCCATTCAACACTTAATGCAATATGAGAGTATGACTCACGGCAGAAGTCTGGCTCCCTCCACTGATGGACAGGTGCACCTGCACTCAGGCAAGCATCAGTGTAAGCTTGAAGCTGGTCACAAAGGACCTGCTGCAGCCCTTGATAACGGCACATATCAAACACACAGCTCTGGAAGAACGGCAACGGGTCCACCACACTTATACAGTCCCTGTGAGGAGCAAATGTAAGAGAAAGTGTACAATGTTTAAGCACTAAAAGTTTTTCAAACATTGCTTATTAGCAGTATTTGGAAATTTCATAGTTGGCAAGTCCTAACCTAAAAGGTCCATTTGTGTCAGTTATTCTCCCACAGTTCTCTGGGTTTGACACCACACCCTCCAGCACAGGATCACAGGGTGGTTGAGGTCCAGGGTCAGGCTTGCACCTGAAAACACAACATCATCGAACATATGAAATCGACCTAATCCTTTAAAACATTGTGCTGCCTGTGTGACCGGTCCTATTCAACCCGCTTCGAGCGGGATTTGAACCGGGGTCTCTGGTGTGAGAGGCGGGCGTGCTAACAAGGACACTTAAGATCGCAGACTCTATCATCAGTCACTAACAAGGACGCTAACGGCAGAAGCCTAGCATCAGTCGCTAACATGCCTCTTGAGGCTAGGGGAGTGAGGTTTACATGCACAGCTCTTACTGGCCTAAGTCCATTACACCTGCATGTGCAGTTGATAAAATGAAGAAGAGAAAGAGGTACTGACGTTGCATCCTCGTCCTCATCAGTTTGCCAGCTGTCGCCAAACTGATGTGAGCTGTCAGATTGGGAGCCATCTGGCTTAGTGAAGTCATTATTAGGGTTTCCATCGTAGTCCCCACACAGGCCACACATCTGGTCATAGTAGGAACTGATGAGAAAGAGAAGAACAAAGCGAGAGGGATTAATATTAAGATGTTCATTTCCCCAGAGATGGTTTTTTCTTTTCTTTTTTTTTTTTGTGGGATTTACTCAAATCCTATAACCTTTAAAGGGTTAGTTCACCCAAAAATGAAAATTCTGTCATTAATTTCTCACCATCATGTCGTTTGAAACTCGTAAGACTTTCGTTCATCTTCGAAACACAAATGAACATCTTTTAATGAAACCTGAGAGCTTTCTGTCCCTCCATTGACAGTCTACGCAACTTTAAACCCCCAGAAAGATAGTAAAGACATCATTAGAGTAATCCATGTGACTCCAGAGGTTTAGCCTCAATTTTATGAAGTGACGTGAGTGCTTTGTTTGAGCAAAAAAACACAATTTACCACTTTATTTACAAAATATAAATCTCCAACCCGTGTTCACGAGAGCACAATGACGCATTCGTGTTGACGCGAGAGCTGACGTTGTTACATGACCATGCGTTAGACATTCATTTTTTATAAATAGAGTGGTAAATTAAGTTTTTTGGTGCAAAGAAAGCACTCACGTCACTTCATAACCAGGTTAATCCACTGGGGTCACATGGATTACTTTACTACCTTTCTGGAACTTGAAGGCGGTAATTGTGTGTAGGCTGTCAATAGAGGGACAGAAAGCTCTCAGATTTAATTAAAAAGATCTTTATTTGTGTTCTGAAGATAAACAAAAGTGTTACGGGTTTGGAACGACATGATGGTGAGAAATGAATGACAGAATTTTAATTTTGGGGTTAACTAAGAATCATGGTGGATCTTAGTGTTTCATAGTGGATCATACTTCAGGTCAGGGTTATGTACTGTGTATATATTTCAATCAGGCTGTTTTTAGAGTTTTAGTACCTGGGAACAGAGATCTTGGCGTAATGGTTGCCGTCCCACTTCACCTCCAGGCCGAACGAAGTTGTGAGGATTACATATTGGCCAGCAAGAGACAGAGAAATGAGCGGAGATGGCGAGTGGGGGAGGGACACCCTGAGTCCATTTACCTGGATGTGTGAAAAAGAGATAAACAATAGAGATGGATTGAAGACTAATGTTATCTTTGACTAGAAGAAATGTGATTATGAACAGATTAGGAACAACTGAAAGAAAATATTTTGGATAAGAGGAGTGTTTTAAGAGGAGTGTCTTAAAACTATTGTCTTTATTTACTTAATTCCATAATCTAAAAGAGACTAAAAAATATTTTAGCTGTCTCAATTCTTCATTTCAAGATTACAGAATGACTTCAGTGGTGGTTTAATGATGGCAGCTGCTGTGGATACTGACCAGAGTTCTCCTGTTTTTCATCATTGTCACAGTGACACCATCAACAGTCACGTACAGTTTCCTCAGGTAAGAAACACCAGAAATTCCTCTCTCTTCATTCTTACCCTCTATTGAGAACCAGGGGCCTGTAGACCCAGGAGAGAGGAAAATAGTTATTTTAAAGTTGTACACTTAGAATCTTATTTAAACTTCAGTTTTTAAGTTAATTTTGGGAACATTTAATGTACATTGAATCAATATTAGGAATGTCAGGATTTTTTGTTTCTCCATAACACCTACTAACGACCAAAGCATTCTAATGTCACTGCTGTTTGTGGATGGTTTTAACATGGTTTTGGACATTGCTTACCAGTGTTGTTTTTACAGGTGCGGGCCAGAGTGTAGGTGCAAGTGCCCATGAAGCTGTAGTATTTGCCATCAAAGGTGTTATAATGAGGGTCACCAGAGATAATACAGTCTTGAGATCCTGGGGGATTGTGAAAAGAGAATGATTAAGTATTTTTAATTACATCAACCATTTTTTAAGCACTAAAGTTTGCATAAAGTGCAATAGTATATTGTTGGACTCAGTTTGTAAACATTAAAAAGTTTGTGATGTAATAATCTGTTTGCATGTAATACAACATCCTACTACAAAGGTATGCTATTATATGAAAGTAAGTTCACACGAATAGTCAAGCTACAGTCTCCATTTCTATAGCCAAATATACATGATACAATGTGTAATCAAATATTAAGAAGGATTAATTACAAACAGCATCTGTCTTGCAAACCAAGACCAGTTTTTTTCTTATTAATGCATATACATGCTGGACAAAGCCGAGCTATAATTACATCTAAATTTGTTAGCTCAACATTGCAAAACTGGACTAGTATGATTTTAAGTCAGACTTTTTTTATATATTTTTTTAAAGACACTTACTGAGTTTACCTAACTATGGTACTCACCTTCTGGGTAACACCCGATTACACCATCCTGTACTCCACATTGTTCCTTTGGTGGACAGTCAGCAGCACTACAGGAAACGAATGGGGGGTTACACTTACACAGTAGCTCACAGTCCTTGGTGTAGAACTCTTCACCTGGCTAAATCCATGCAGAGAAGAAATATGTTAGTTTGATGAAAAATACTACTTGATTGACTATAACAAACCATCGCTGTCCTAAATGATACCACATACAGTTTCCTCACCTGATAATAATGTCCATTATGCCTGCAGCCACATGTGTCTTCTTTCACGCACTGACCAGCACTGAGGATGTATCCAGGGTCACAAACACATCCTTCAGAACAAGGCCCAGTGCACTGATTTGGTGGAATTGGGTTACAGGAAGGTTGGCAAATTGGGGCGCATGACTCAAAATGACTGTTGGGTGGGCATTTCAGAGCTGGAGAGGAAGAATGTGTATTAGTGCTTGTCATAAACTTCACTCTATCTGACAGTATGTTAGAGTTTATGGTTGAGGAATATGTATTTTTCAGACATACGACAGAAGGTGCTGTTTCTCCAGGGTCCAATTGTGACGCCACGGTCCTGACATTCGTTGACGTACGACTCTATTGCTTCACACAATGCAGAATGAGCTCCATCCAGCTCACACACATCAAACAAACAGTCTTGGAAGAAACCCTATACACACAGGGTTAAGATCTGTAAGTATCTTTTATATGGTTAAAATTACACACTAAAGCATTTCAAATAATCTGACTTGACTTCACTCACATTTGGGTTGACTTTTGGATGGCAAGCAGCAAATGGGCCATTGGTGTCCAATATGAGACCACAGTAAGCAGGCCCTTCATACAAATCCTGCTCAGCATCTGTACATCCTGGGGTTGGGTTGACCTCTGGCTTGTTACACCTGAAATGCAGAATCAAAGTTAAGTCATCTATGATATGAATTAATAGATAGCATACTGTAGATGAGTCTTTTAGGACTAACAGTATGTGCATTGCATATTGCCTTACTCAGGGTCTGTGTTCCAGCTGTGGCCAAAGTCATTGGGGTTTTGGACCAGTTCACCAGTCGGGGTCTGGAAGTCATCCTTAGGGTCTCCGTTGTAGTCCCCACACAGTCCACAAAGTTTGTCCTCATAGCTGTAAAATGATCACAAGCATGTAGAAACATTTAAAAGTGGATCAAGTTGTAATAGTTATTAAAAAGACTTTTATAAGAACCCTACTCACTCCTTGATAACTTTAATGTCCATAAAGTGGTTTCCATCGTAACGTACAGTAACTCCAAAGTTCAAGACCACTGTGTAGTGCTTGCCAGACATAAAAATGTCAACACCACTGACAGGAGTCAGAGGAATGTTCACTTTGGTACCATTGACCTGAGAAAAGTCAGAAAACATAACTGTCCATTTGAATGTGCCTCTATATAAGATGTCTACAGTATATGTACATTAGCAGTAATATTGAAATTAATGTTCTTTTCTCTTACCTGCACAGTTCCTCCTTTCAGAATGGACACTATCACTCCCAGCGCATGGACATGAACAGCTTTTACATAGCTGATATAAGGATTGTTGTAGCGATTCTCATTGTCTGTGTATACAGCAAAGTAAGGCACATCTGTGCTGTTACAAAGTTCAGACATCAGGTAAGAACAGTTTCCCATGAAGTCGTAGCGCCGCTTATCAAAGGTGGTGTAATGGGGGTCACCAGAAGAAATACAGGTGGAAGTTCCTGTGAGTGAAAAATATTTTGATGTCAAAGATATATATTTAAAAAAATAGAGGAAATAATGTTGTTGTTGTTGTTTTGTCCATTACCTTTAGGGTAGCAGCCATGCACTCCACCAACCTCCCGACATTCTTCTGTCACAGAGTCACAGGTGTTGTCCACACAGTCGAAAGTGTAGTTGCCAGCACAGCGACACAACTTGGAACAGCCATTTCCAAAAATGATCTCACCAGGCTGAGTGTAAATACAGAACAAGTTTAGAGCAAAGGCTTAGGTCCCAGAAATGGATAAAAATACAGCCTCACATCAACGACAACTCTTGTACCTCAAAGTAATTGTTTTCTTCATCCAGGCACCCACACTGCTCAATAGGAACACAGCGCCGGCCACGGAAAACAAATCCTGGTTTACAGAAGCAGCCGCTGATACAAGAACCAGAGCAGTTGGTGGAGGGTTCTGCGCAGGTAGGAATACAGGCTGGGCCGCAATCAATGTATTCAGAGTCTGGAGGGCAGTTCACTGTTGGAACACATGAAGAGTTATTTAGCTATACAAATGTTGTAATTTCCTGATAGAGCAGGAGCAGGTACTCATGAAGTGATCTACTTTATTATCAGAGGAGGCAATGAGGGTCAATAAAGACAAAACAAATTCTTATATCTAAAGAGAAAGATAAAAATGAATTTAGAAATATAAGTTCCAGATCTGTCAGAAGTTTCAATTGGTTTGTGTATAACTGCATGTGTGTATATTCAGGATATGTTAATATGTGTAAATAAATGTACCCATGTGTTCATAACATTATTATGTATAAACCAGTACTATAATTGTTACCACTTGGTTTGCAGACATAGTCTCCATCTTCAAGTTGGCAACTCTCAGTAGGAAGACAGCTGGTGTCGTAACACTGAATAGTTCCTCCACCCTCACATGTACACTTCTGCTTACAGCCCTCCAGATACCAGCTCTCATTCACCTAAACATGGCCACAGTGAGAGGAATGTCTGTCATTTCTGGAGTGGTTTCATGAATGTTGAAATCAAAGTTTTGGATCTTATTTTCATAATCTCGTCCATGGCACCAGAAGCCCACGGGGCGGCCCTGGTTTTAAACTCACTGGGTGGTAGGAGCCTGAGGGGTCCACACAGCCACAGTCTTTAGCAGGAACACATTTGTTGTCACTGAGGATGAAGCCAGGGTCGCACTCACAGCCCTCTACACACTTCTCACTGCAGCCCGGTGGTCCATTGATACCCAGACATGTCTCCGGACAGGAGCTCACACATATGGAGTAATGGCTGTTCGGAGGACATACCAGAGCTGTAGAAAAAAGGGGTAAAGCATCAGTAAATGACTGTGAAATTAAGGCTGAAGTGAGGATGCAATGTGGAGTATGTAGTTTCCCAGTCTCATGTCTTCTTCCCTCAGTGATGGCATTCCTGTCATAGAAGTCTAATAAATAATAAAAGCAAAAAGACTCTAGCTGTCTTTTTCCAACCTCCTGAACTCCATGTCAATAATTAATATTGTGCATTAGAGAAAGCTTAAAGCAGGCTTGTCACTGGGAATGTGAAATGTTATTCTTGCATGGATGTAAGTTGCCAAATTGTACTTCTTTAGTATATGTTTAAAACGTTATACACTGTGCGATACGATACAACCTATAAGAGAGTATGACTCACGGCAGAAGTCTGGCTCCCTCCACTGATGGACAGGTGCACCTGCACTCAGGCAAGCATCAGTGTAAGCTTGAAGCTGGTCACAAAGGACCTGCTGCAGCCCTTGATAACGGCACATATCAAACACACAGCTCTGGAAGAACGGCAACGGGTCCACCACACTTATACAGTCCCTGTGAGGAGCAAATGTAAGAGAAAGTGTACAATGTTTAAGCACTAAAAGTTTTTCATCATTGTTTATTAACAGTATTTGGAAATGTCATAGTTTGGTAAATCCTAACCTAAAAGGTCCATTTGTGTCAGTTATTCTCCCACAGTTCTCTGGGTTTGACACCACACCCTCCAGCACAGGATCACAGGGTGGTTGAGGTCCAGGGTCAGGCTTGCACCTGAAAACACAACATCATCGAACATATGAAATCGACCTAATCCTCAAAACATTGTGCTGCCTGTGTGACCGGTCCTATTCAACCCGCTTCGAGCGGGATTTGAACTGGGGTCTCTGGTGTGAGAGGCGGGCGTGCTAACAAGGACACTTAAGATCGCAGACTCTATGATCTGTCACTAGTGCGCCTCTTGAGGCCAGTGGAGTGAGGTTTACACACACAGCTCTTACTGGCCTACATGCGTTACATTCGCTCCCCTAAACCTCACTCTTATCCGTTTCAACTGCACCAAATGTAACCTGTCCTACTCGACCCGCTCCGAGGGGGATTCGAACCGGTGTGGGAGGCGGGCGCACTAACAAGGACGCTAACGGCAGCAGCCTAGCATCAGTCGCTAACATGCCTCTTGAGGCTAGGGGAGTGAGGTTTACATGCACAGCTCTTACTGGCCTAAGTCCATTACACCTGCATGTGCAGTTGATAAAATGAAGAAGAGAAAGAGGTACTGACGTTGCATCCTCGTCCTCATCAGTTTGCCAGCTGTCGCCAAACTGATGTGAGCTGTCAGATTGGGAGCCATCTGGCTTAGTGAAGTCATTATTAGGGTTTCCATCGTAGTCCCCACACAGGCCACACATCTGGTCATAGTAGGAACTGATAAAATGAGAGAGAGAGAGAGAGAGAGAGAGAGAGAGAGAGAGAGAGAGAGAGAGAGAGAGAGAGAGAGAGAGAGAGAGAGAGAGAGAGAGAGAGAGAGAGAGAGAGAGAGAGAGAGAGAGAGAGAGAGAGAGAGAGAGAGAGAGAGAGAGAGAGAGAGAGAGAGAGAGAGAGAGAGAGAGATTAATGTAAAGATGTTCGTTTCCCTAGAGACACTTTTTGTTTTTTCTTTTGCAGGATTTACTCAAGTCCTATAACCCTTAATAATCATGGTGGATCTTAGTGTTTCCTGACCAATACTTCAGGTCAGAGTTATGTACTGTGTATTTCAATGAGGCTGTTTTCAGAGTTTTAGTACCTAGGAACAGAGATCTTGGCGTAATGGTTGCCGTCCCACTTCACCTCTAGGCCGAACGAAGTTGTGAGGATTACATATTGGCCAGCAAGAGACAGAGAAATGAGCGGAGATGGCGAGTGGGGGAGGGACACCCTGAGTCCATTTACCTGGATGTGTGAAAAAGAGATAAACAATAGAGATGGATTGAAGACTAATGTTATCTTTGACTAGAATAACTGTGAGATTTTTTTTCTTTTGTTGTAAAGGAAATATTATTGAAGAAATGAAAAATGGACAGAGATATTGTGATTATGAACACAGATTAGGAACAACTGAAAGAAAATATTTAAGATGAAAACTATTATGTCCATAGTCCATTTACTTAATCTCAGAAATGAAAATTTCAGAAAAACTAAAATATAGTTTAGCTGTTGACTTAAAATCTCAATTGTTGATCTCAAGTTTACAGAATGACTTCAGTGGTGGTTTAATGATGGCAGCTGCTGTGGATACTGACCAGAGTTCTCCTGTTTTTCATCATTGTCACAGTGACACCATCAACAGTCACGTACAGTTTCCTCAGGTAAGAAACACCAGAAATTCCTCTCTCTTCATTCTTACCCTCTATTGAGAACCAGGGGCCTGTAGACCCAGGAGAGAGGAAAGCAAAGTTGTTTTAAAAGTGTATTATACTTTACAGTTTAAACTATTAAAACTTTTGAATTTTGTTTCAGGAATATTTCATGTACATTGAATCGGAATAGGATTTTTGTGCTACTCCATAACAACTACTGATAACCAAAGCACTGTTAACTCATTGCTAGTTTTGGATCTTTGTACCCTGTCTTGGCCATTGCTTACCAGTGTTGTTTTTACAAGTGCGGGCCAGAGTGTAGGTGCAAGTGCCCATGAAGCTGTAGTATTTGCCATCAAAGGTGTTATAATGAGGGTCACCAGAGATAATACAGTCTTGAGATCCTGGGGGATTGTGAAAAGAAATTAAGTTTTTTATAAATGAATCAACCATTTGTTAAGGGCTAAAGAATATGCAGTTTGGTTTAGGATATTGTATAATAATGTAATATTGTATATAGTGCATTATTTATAATAAAAAGAATAAAAAAAGAAGAGGAAGAATAATAAAATAAAAATAAAGTATGTGGTGCTATGACCTGACCACAGTATACTATTACAAAAAGTACATTTACATGTACAGTTAACATGCATAGTCAAGCCACATTTTACCTCTCTTTGTCCAAGTATGCATGACACAATACGTAATCGAGTATTTGAAGAATTAAATACACATTGCATGTCACATCTTTCAAAGCATGCACACAGCACTGAGACCAGTTGTAGTCTGATTAACAAGTACAGGCTAGACAAAGTTAAGCTACAATCACATGTATGATTTGATAACAAAATTATGCAAAAAATTATTTCAGATTAAATTGTTCACATGTTAAAAAGACATATTATTGCTTTAGTCTGACTGAAATCCTATTTTAATGTGAATAGAAACACACTTACGGAGTTAACCAAAGTACTCACCTTCTGGGTAACACCCAATTACACCATCCTGTACTCCACATTGTTCCTTTGGTGGACAGTCAGCAGCACTACAGGAAACGAATGGGGGGTTACACTTACACAGTAGCTCACAGTCCTTGGTGTAGAACTCTTCACCTGGCTAAATCCATGCAGAGAAGAAATATGTTAGTTTGATGAAAAATACTACTTGATTGACTATAACAAACCATCGCTGTCCTAAATGATCCCACATACAGTTTCCTCACCTGATAATAATGTCCATTATGCCTGCAGCCACATGTGTCTTCTTTCACGCACTGACCAGCACTGAGGATGTATCCAGGGTCACAAACACATCCTTCAGAACAAGGCCCAGTGCACTGATTTGGTGGAATTGGGTTACAGGAAGGTTGGCAAATTGGGGCGCATGACTCAAAATGACTGTTGGGTGGGCATTTCAGAGCTGGAGAGGAAGAATGTGTATTAGTGCTTGTCATAAACTTCACTCTATCTGACAGTATGTTAGAGTTTATGGTTGAGGAATATGTATTTTTCAGACATACGACAGAAGGTGCTGTTTCTCCAGGGTCCAATTGTGACGCCACGGTCCTGACATTCGTTGACGTACGACTCTATTGCTTCACACAATGCAGAATGAGCTCCATCCAGCTCACACACATCAAACAAACAGTCTTGGAAGAAACCCTATACACACAGGGTTAAGATCTGTAAGTATCTTTTATATGGTTAAAATTACACACTAAAGCATTTCAAATAATCTGACTTGACTTCACTCACATTTGGGTTGACTTTTGGATGGCAAGCAGCAAATGGGCCATTGGTGTCCAATATGAGACCACAGTAAGCAGGCCCTTCATACAAATCCTGCTCAGCATCTGTACATCCTGGGGTTGGGTTGACCTCTGGCTTGTTACACCTGAAATGCAGAATCAAAGTTAAGTCATCTATGATATGAATTAATAGATAGCATACTGTAGATGAGTCTTTTAGGACTAACAGTATGTGCATTGCATATTGCCTTACTCAGGGTCTGTGTTCCAGCTGTGGCCAAAGTCATTGGGGTTTTGGACCAGTTCACCAGTCGGGGTCTGGAAGTCATCCTTAGGGTCTCCGTTGTAGTCCCCACACAGTCCACAAAGTTTGTCCTCATAGCTGTAAAATGATCACAAGCATGTAGAAACATTTAAAAGTGGATCAAGTTGTAATAGTTATTAAAAAGACTTTTATAAGAACCCTACTCACTCCTTGATAACTTTAATGTCCATAAAGTGGTTTCCATCGTAACGTACAGTAACTCCAAAGTTCAAGACCACTGTGTAGTGCTTGCCAGACATAAAAATGTCAACACCACTGACAGGAGTCAGAGGAATGTTCACTTTGGTACCATTGACCTGAGAAAAGTCAGAAAACATAACTGTCCATTTGAATGTGCCTCTATATAAGATGTCTACAGTATATGTACATTAGCAGTAATATTGAAATTAATGTTCTTTTCTCTTACCTGCACAGTTCCTCCTTTCAGAATGGACACTATCACTCCCAGCGCATGGACATGAACAGCTTTTACATAGCTGATATAAGGATTGTTGTAGCGATTCTCATTGTCTGTGTATACAGCAAAGTAAGGCACATCTGTGCTGTTACAAAGTTCAGACATCAGGTAAGAACAGTTTCCCATGAAGTCGTAGCGCCGCTTATCAAAGGTGGTGTAATGGGGGTCACCAGAAGAAATACAGGTGGAAGTTCCTGTGAGTGAAAAATATTTTGATGTCAAAGATATATATTTAAAAAAAATAGAGGAAATAATGTTGTTGTTGTTGTTTTGTCCATTACCTTTAGGGTAGCAGCCATGCACTCCACCAACCTCCCGACATTCTTCTGTCACAGAGTCACAGGTGTTGTCCACACAGTCGAAAGTGTAGTTGCCAGCACAGCGACACAACTTGGAACAGCCATTTCCAAAAATGATCTCACCAGGCTGAGTGTAAATACAGAACAAGTTTAGAGCAAAGGCTTAGGTCCCAGAAATGGATAAAAATACAGCCTCACATCAACGACAACTCTTGTACCTCAAAGTAATTGTTTTCTTCATCCAGGCACCCACACTGCTCAATAGGAACACAGCGCCGGCCACGGAAAACAAATCCTGGTTTACAGAAGCAGCCGCTGATACAAGAACCAGAGCAGTTGGTGGAGGGTTCTGCGCAGGTAGGAATACAGGCTGGGCCGCAATCAATGTATTCAGAGTCTGGAGGGCAGTTCACTGTTGGAACACATGAAGAGTTATTTAGCTATACAAATGTTGTAATTTCCTGATAGAGCAGGAGCAGGTACTCATGAAGTGATCTACTTTATTATCAGAGGAGGCAATGAGGGTCAATAAAGACAAAACAAATTCTTATATCTAAAGAGAAAGATAAAAATGAATTTAGAAATATAAGTTCCAGATCTGTCAGAAGTTTCAATTGGTTTGTGTATAACTGCATGTGTGTATATTCAGGATATGTTAATATGTGTAAATAAATGTACCCATGTGTTCATAACATTATTATGTATAAACCAGTACTATAATTGTTACCACTTGGTTTGCAGACATAGTCTCCATCTTCAAGTTGGCAACTCTCAGTAGGAAGACAGCTGGTGTCGTAACACTGAATAGTTCCTCCACCCTCACATGTACACTTCTGCTTACAGCCCTCCAGATACCAGCTCTCATTCACCTAAACATGGCCACAGTGAGAGGAATGTCTGTCATTTCTGGAGTGGTTTCATGAATGTTGAAATCAAAGTTTTGGATCTTATTTTCATAATCTCGTCCATGGCACCAGAAGCCCACGGGGCGGCCCTGGTTTTAAACTCACTGGGTGGTAGGAGCCTGAGGGGTCCACACAGCCACAGTCTTTAGCAGGAACACATTTGTTGTCACTGAGGATGAAGCCAGGGTCGCACTCACAGCCCTCTACACACTTCTCACTGCAGCCCGGTGGTCCATTGATACCCAGACATGTCTCCGGACAGGAGCTCACACATATGGAGTAATGGCTGTTCGGAGGGCATACCAGAGCTGTAGAAAAAAGGGGTAAAGCATCAGTAAATGACTGTGAAATTATGGCTGAAGTGAGGATGCAATGTGGAGTATGTAGTTTCCCAGTCTCATGTCCTCTTCCCTCAGTGACGGCATTCCTGTCATAGAAGTCTAATAAATAATTAAAGCAAAAAGACTAAAGCTAACATAAGTAATCGACTCTAGCTGTCTTTTTCCAACCTCCTAAACTCCATGACAATAATTAATATTGTGCATTAGAGAAAGCTTAAAGAAGGCTTGTCACTGGGAATGTGAAATGTTATTCTTGCATGGATGTAAGTTGCCAAATTGTACTTCTTTAGTATATGTTTAAAACGTTATACACTGTGCGATGCGATACAACCTATAAGAGAGTATGACTCACGGCAGAAGTCTGGCTCCCTCCACTGATGGACAGGTGCACCTGCACTCAGGCAAGCATCAGTGTAAGCTTGAAGCTGGTCACAAAGGACCTGCTGCAGCCCTTGATAACGGCACATATCAAACACACAGCTCTGGAAGAACGGCAACGGGTCCACCACACTTATACAGTCCCTGTGAGGAGCAAATGTAAGAGAAAGTGTACAATGTTTAAGCACTAAAAGTTTTTCATCATTGTTTATTAACAGTATTTGGAAATGTCATAGTTTGGTAAATCCTAACCTAAAAGGTCCATTTGTGTCAGTTATTCTCCCACAGTTCTCTGGGTTTGACACCACACCCTCCAGCACAGGATCACAGGGTGGTTGAGGTCCAGGGTCAGGCTTGCACCTGAAAACACAACATCATCGAACATATGAAATCGACCTAATCCTCAAAACATTGTGCTGCCTGTGTGACCGGTCCTATTCAACCCGCTTCGAGCGGGATTTGAACTGGGGTCTCTGGTGTGAGAGGGGGGCGTGCTAACAAGGACACTTAAGATCGCAGACTCTATGATCAGTCACTAGTGCGCCTCTTGAGGCCAGTGGAGTGAGGTTTACACACACAGCTCTCACTGGCCTACATGCGTTACATTCGCTCCCCTAAACCTCACTCTTATCCGTTTCAACTGCACCAAATGTAACCTGTCCTACTCGACCCGCTCCGAGGGGGATTCGAACCGGTGTGGGAGGCGGGCGCACTAACAAGGACGCTAACGGCAGCAGCCTAGCATCAGTCGCTAACATGCCTCTTGAGGCTAGGGGAGTGAGGTTTACATGCACAGCTCTTACTGGCCTAAGTCCATTACACCTGCATGTGCAGTTGATAAAATGAAGAAGAGAAAGAGATACTGACGTTGCATCCTCGTCCTCATCAGTTTGCCAGCTGTCGCCAAACTGATGTGAGCTGTCAGATTGGGAGCCATCTGGCTTAGTGAAGTCATTATTAGGGTTTCCATCGTAGTCCCCACACAGGCCACACATCTGGTCATAGTAGGAACTGATAAAATGAGAGAGAGAGAGGAAAAAAGAGAGAGAGATTAATGTAAAGATGTTCGTTTCCCTAGAGACACTTTTTGTTTTTTCTTTTGCAGGATTTACTCAAGTCCTATAACCCTTAATAATCATGGTGGATCTTAGTGTTTCCTGACCAATACTTCAGGTCAGAGTTATGTACTGTGTATTTCAATGAGGCTGTTTTCAGAGTTTTAGTACCTAGGAACAGAGATCTTGGCGTAATGGTTGCCGTCCCACTTCACCTCTAGGCCGAACGAAGTTGTGAGGATTACATATTGGCCAGCAAGAGACAGAGAAATGAGCGGAGATGGCGAGTGGGGGAGGGACACCCTGAGTCCATTTACCTGGATGTGTGAAAAAGAGATAAACAATAGAGATGGATTGAAGACTAATGTTATCTTTGACTAGAAGAAATGTAATTATGAACAGATTAGGAACAACTGAAACAAAATATTTTGGATAAGAGGAGTGTCTTAAGAGGAGTGTCTCAAAACTATTGTCTTTATTTACTTAATGCCATAATCTAAGAGAGACTAAATCATATTTCTCAATTCTTCATTTCAAGATTACAGAATGACTTCAGTGGTGGTTTAATGATGGCAGCTGCTGTGGATACTGACCAGAGTTCTCCTGTTTTTCATCATTGTCACAGTGACACCATCAACAGTCACGTACAGTTTCCTCAGGTAAGAAACACCAGAAATTCCTCTCTCTTCATTCTTACCCTCTATGGAGAACCAGGGGCCTGTAGACCCAGGACATAGTTAAGTAGTTATTTTAAAGCTGTACACTTAGAATCTTATTTAAACTTCAGTTTTTAAGTAAATTTTGGGAACATTTAATGTACATTGAATCAATATTAGGAATGTCAGGATTTTGTGTTTCTCCATAACACCTACTAACGACCAAAGCATTCTAATGTCACTGCTGTTTGTGGATGGTTTTAACATGGTTTTGGACATTGCTTACCAGTGTTGTTTTTACAGGTGCGGGCCAGAGTGTAGGTGCAAGTGCCCATGAAGCTGTAGTATTTGCCATCAAAGGTGTTATAATGAGGGTCACCAGAGATAATACAGTCTTGAGATCCTGGGGGATTGTGAAAAGAGAATGATTAAGTATTTTTAATTACATCAACCATTTTTTAAGCACTAAAGTTTGCATAAAGTGCAATAGTATATTGTTGGACTCAGTTTGTAAACATTAAAAAGTTTGTGATGTAATAATCTGTTTGCATGTAATACAACATCCTACTACAAAGGTATGCTATTATATGAAAGTAAGTTCACACGAATAGTCAAGCTACAGTCTCCATTTCTATAGCCAAATATACATGATACAATGTGTAATCAAATATTAAGAAGGATTAATTACAAACAGCATCTGTCTTGCAAACCAAGACCAGTTTTTTTCTTATTAATGCATATACATGCTGGACAAAGCCGAGCTATAATTACATCTAAATTTGTTAGCTCAACATTGCAAAATTGGACTAGTATGATTTTAAGTCGGAATTTTTTATTTATTTTATTTTTTAAGACACTTACTGAGTTTACCTAACTATGGTACTCACCTTCTGGGTAACACCCGATTACACCATCCTGTACTCCACATTGTTCCTTTGGTGGACAGTCAGCAGCACTACAGGAAACGAATGGGGGGTTACACTTACACAGTAGCTCACAGTCCTTGGTGTAGAACTCTTCACCTGGCTAAATCCATGCAGAGAAGAAATATGTTAGTTTGATAAAAAATACTACTTGATTGACTATAACAAACCATCGCTGTCCTAAATGATACCACATACAGTTTCCTCACCTGATAATAATGTCCATTATGCCTGCAGCCACATGTGTCTTCTTTCACGCACTGACCAGCACTGAGGATGTATCCAGGGTCACAAACACATCCTTCAGAACAAGGCCCAGTGCACTGATTTGGTGGAATTGGGTTACAGGAAGGTTGGCAAATTGGGGCGCATGACTCAAAATGACTGTTGGGTGGGCATTTCAGAGCTGGAGAGGAAGAATGTGTATTAGTGCTTGTCATAAACTTCACTCTATCTGACAGTATGTTAGAGTTTATGGTTGAGGAATATGTATTTTTCAGACATACGACAGAAGGTGCTGTTTCTCCAGGGTCCAATTGTGACGCCACGGTCCTGACATTCGTTGACGTACGACTCTATTGCTTCACACAATGCAGAATGAGCTCCATCCAGCTCACACACATCAAACAAACAGTCTTGGAAGAAACCCTATACACACAGGGTTAAGATCTGTAAGTATCTTTTATATGGTTAAAATTACACACTAAAGCATTTCAAATAATCTGACTTGACTTCACTCACATTTGGGTTGACTTTTGGATGGCAAGCAGCAAATGGGCCATTGGTGTCCAATATGAGACCACAGTAAGCAGGCCCTTCATACAAATCCTGCTCAGCATCTGTACATCCTGGGGTTGGGTTGACCTCTGGCTTGTTACACCTGAAATGCAGAATCAAAGTTAAGTCATCTATGATATGAATTAATAGATAGCATACTGTAGATGAGTCTTTTAGGACTAACAGTATGTGCATTGCATATTGCCTTACTCAGGGTCTGTGTTCCAGCTGTGGCCAAAGTCATTGGGGTTTTGGACCAGTTCACCAGTCGGGGTCTGGAAGTCATCCTTAGGGTCTCCGTTGTAGTCCCCACACAGTCCACAAAGTTTGTCCTCATAGCTGTAAAATGATCACAAGCATGTAGAAACATTTAAAAGTGGATCAAGTTGTAATAGTTATTAAAAAGACTTTTATAAGAACCCTACTCACTCCTTGATAACTTTAATGTCCATAAAGTGGTTTCCATCGTAACGTACAGTAACTCCAAAGTTCAAGACCACTGTGTAGTGCTTGCCAGACATAAAAATGTCAACACCACTGACAGGAGTCAGAGGAATGTTCACTTTGGTACCATTGACCTGAGAAAAGTCAGAAAACATAACTGTCCATTTGAATGTGCCTCTAAATAAGATGTCTACAGTATATGTACATTAGCAGTAATATTGAAATTAATGTTCTTTTCTCTTACCTGCACAGTTCCTCCTTTCAGAATGGACACTATCACTCCCAGCGCATGGACATGAACAGCTTTTACATAGCTGATATAAGGATTGTTGTAGCGATTCTCATTGTCTGTGTATACAGCAAAGTAAGGCACATCTGTGCTGTTACAAAGTTCAGACATCAGGTAAGAACAGTTTCCCATGAAGTCGTAGCGCCGCTTATCAAAGGTGGTGTAATGGGGGTCACCAGAAGAAATACAGGTGGAAGTTCCTGTGAGTGAAAAATATTTTGATGTCAAAGATATATATTTAAAAAAATAGAGGAAATAATGTTGTTGTTTTGTCCATTACCTTTAGGGTAGCAGCCATGCACTCCACCAACCTCCCGACATTCTTCTGTCACAGAGTCACAGGTGTTGTCCACACAGTCGAAAGTGTAGTTGCCAGCACAGCGACACAACTTGGAACAGCCATTTCCAAAAATGATCTCACCAGGCTGAGTGTAAATACAGAACAAGTTTAGAGCAAAGGCTTAGGTCCCAGAAATGGATAAAAATACAGCCTCACATCAACGACAACTCTTGTACCTCAAAGTAATTGTTTTCTTCATCCAGGCACCCACACTGCTCAATAGGAACACAGCGCCGGCCACGGAAAACAAATCCTGGTTTACAGAAGCAGCCGCTGATACAAGAACCAGAGCAGTTGGTGGAGGGTTCTGCGCAGGTAGGAATACAGGCTGGGCCGCAATCAATGTATTCAGAGTCTGGAGGGCAGTTCACTGTTGGAACACATGAAGAGTTATTTAGCTATACAAATGTTGTAATTTCTTGATAGACTTTTATAAGGAAAATAGAACAAGTTTAACTTACCTGGTGGTGTTGGTTTTGGAGTAGTTGGCTTAGGTGTAGTTGGTTTAGGAGTTGATGGACCTGGTGTTGTTGGTTTAGGAGTAGTGGGTTGGGGTGTAGATGGTTTAGGAGTTGATGGACCCTGTGTTGTTGGTTTAGGTGTAGTAGGTTGGGGTGTAGATGGTCTAGGAGTTGATGGACCCTGTGTTGTTGGATTAGGTGTAGTGGGTTGGGCTGTAGATGGTTTAGGAGTTGATGGGCCTGGTGTTGTTGGTTTAGGTGTAGTGGGTTGGGGTGTAGATGGTTTAGGAGTTGATGGACCCTGTGTTGTTGGTTTAGGTGTAGTGGGTTGGGGTGTAGATGGTTTAGGAGTTGATGGACCCTGTGTTGTTGGTTTAGGTGTAGTGGGTTGGGGTGGGGATGGCTTAGGTGTTGTTGGAGTTGCTAAAATCAAGCAAGAAAACAATCAATAGACTGGTGGTTTCTCCATATTTTTGGACATTTTTTGACAATCGCTACATATAACCTTAAAATGATACAGTCTGCCACCTACCTGTACAACTGGTAATGCAGACACTATCAATAGCAATATCTGTCTTGTCTGTTTCACCATAAACACCAACAATTACAAACTGAAATAAAAAAAAATGAATTACAATGTAAACACATGCTCCTTTGGCAATATATATTCTTTAAAAAAATATAAAGAAGCTCTGTCACAAATTCCTAACTAAGAGAATAAAACTGACCTGCACTGTACCAGCTGTGCCAATGTAACGAACACTTGCAGGCTTCCAGTCTTGACCTTGATTCCCTGTGAGGCTGAAAATAGGGACTCCAAGTGCCCCACCTAAAACAAAATAATAATAAACAAATCTGAGCTAAAATCTCAGTAGTTAATCTGTATTGTAAAATTTTCAGAAACCATTGATCATTCAGTTTTTAAAAGTTGATTCATTGCTTTAATATGTGCATATGATCCTCATGATATTGTAATATAATTGTCTTTTGAACTTAAAGATGTTTAAATAAACTCTTAATCTTCACTCTATAGAATGACTCTTACCAGTGGTGACTGCATGGACATTAAGTTCCATGTTGGCAGCACTGCCATACATGTAGTAATGAAAGTCCAGCTGCAGGCAACCAGAGACTGAGGTAGAGGGACTCCAGAGCTGAGCGGATTCTGATTCAATGCTATAGCTGGAGTCCAATAACAAGTATGACCCCACTGCATTGGAAAGAAACAGTTTGAGAAAATAGGGAATTTTGGGAAATAGGGAAGTCCTTAAAATCATTGTTGTCTTGAACAAAGTCACAGGGTGGAATGTTGGACTCACGTCCTGGTTTGGAGTAATCATCATCAGGGCCAGTGCCTGGTGTCTCTGTCGGTCCAGTCCAAGTCTCCCAACCATAGATATCGTCATTTGATACCTCATTCATCCAGCCACAATAGTCTTTATCATCAAAATCACACCCAGCTATACAGCCTGTAAAAAAAAAATATATATATTTTTTTATTATTATTATTATTATATTAATACGAAATGTGTATCTTTGTAACCTGCAATAAGGGTAGAATAAAGTACCAGCACATGCTCCCTCGTTGATGACAATGTTATCCAGGGCAGTGTCACATGATGAAGAGAGCCCACGCATTGCTTGAAAAACAATCTAGAAGAGAACAATAACATTAAAGCAGGCTGAAAAGGAATTTTCTGTCATGCTGTGGGAGTTGTTCTGTCAGTAAATGCTTTAGCTGTGTCTAACTTTTTTTTATAACTGATGATGAAGATAAAGACCATATAGATTAGACAATCTGTAATGCATAAGCCTTGTAGCCACAAGCACAGTGACCCCACTGACATGTAACAGCTAAAATCTTCTACAAAGGTCTCGATCCTTTTGGCAGTTTGGTCAGGTATGGCAGGACGGCACCCATTTCATTTAAAAATGCATGTTAGAGCCTTTGAATAATTCTAGAGCCTTACATGAACACTTGAATTAGCACTACTAGCAATCTTTTGCTGTTTTTAAGCAGACCCACGTACCTGAGTCTGCCCGGCTGGTATGGGAACTGTGACAGAAGCTCCAAGCCATGACGGGCTCTGAATCCCAGTTTTTTGCCACAGTTGTTCCTCAGAGCCAGAATGTTTGGCCAGCACAGTCAGAGTGTTACTGCCATCACTGCCATACATGTAGTAGTAGAACTGTACACAGATCTCAGCAGGTCCATTACTAATAACTGGGCTGAGGAGGCGTACTTTCTGTCCATTTATGCTGTTGTCAGCCTCATGATATATGTAAAAGCCAGCTATGGGGGAAAGGGGATCAATTTAACAATGAATGAGAGCAAGGAACAGTAACAAAAAAGTGCTTTACCATTTCATAGGTTACCTGACAAAACATATTTAATTAATTAGTGTAACATAATTAGTGCACTGTAATTTTGTAAACATTTGTGGTTGCTGTAATTTTAGTATTTTTCAAAAAGTGCTGCTGAAAAACATTCGGCAATGAATGTGCATCTTTAGTGACTGATCATTGGATTAATGTTTGTTGGTTTGGCGCTCATACTCACAGCCATCTGGATAGTCTCCATCAGGTCCTGTTTCTGGAGTTGGGGTGGGTCCAGTATGGCGTGTCCAATCACCGTTATCTGTGATGTCTTGTTGGAAGTTGCAGAAAGGTTCTTCATTTTTGTTGAAGTCACAGGAGGCCAAAACTACTTAAAAGATAGAAAACCATGACATTTTAGTTTTCAGTGGTAGAAATTGTCTAAAATTGACTTCACATGGAATTCTAGTTAATTTAGAATTATTTAAGGATATGGTGTTACGTCATAAACAGTCCTTAAATGAGGAATGAATCATGCTAATCTTTTTTGTATTGTTTTCCAGTTGTACTACAATGCCATAAATGTTATTTATGTTCATAATGTGTTGGTAATGGACATGGACCTTAGATATGCTTTATGGAGGCCTACCGTACTCCACCCATTTACAACCAGTTCTCAAGTCATTTTGTAATCATATGTGTCCTTGCTTGATTGCAAGTGTGAACATTTTGTGTGTTTTTTTTATGTGACAGAACAAAATAAAGTCAGGAAATTTTCCAATAGCGCTAATTCTCTAGTTAATCATTGTCCTTTTTAACATTTTATATGATGATTTACTTACCAGCATCTCTCTCTGTCACGTCATATCTATAAAAACATGAAATAATTGAGTCTGAGTTAACTAATACCAGAAAAAGACAAAAGAGCTGGCTATATTTTAATATTCATGTTAAATTAACTGGATAATCATTTAAGAATTTCTTATACACAGGTAGAAAAGTAGTGTAATTCAGTTACATAATAGTAGTCATCACCATAACATTTATCATCTGTTCCCATCATTATGATTAATGTCTAAAATCAAAGTTGCTTTTTAAATGAGATGGTAAATGCTTAATTGCATGTAAACTAAGACTGTAAGAAAGTGACAATAATGCATTAATGTTGTGCACAAAATTAAGAAATAGCAAAACTCTGATGTGTTATCGAGCATTTCCCCGTACAATTTTGGGGGTCTTTGCCTGTTTTCCTAATTTAATTGTTAGTAATGTGTTGCTCTATTTAAATGCATACTGCAAATGATTAACAAGTATTGGATAAATCATGTTCATTGTATAGACATTAATATTTAGAATATGCATATATTTGTATTATTTCCGCCAGTACATACAATAATCATCTTTTACTGAATCTATACTTAAAACCAAAATTAGGTTTAAATTCACATTACTGCTGAAATTATACCAAATTACTAAATAATTATGAGAATCTCACCTATTCTCGTTGTTGTCTATGGTAAAGCAACCTGTTATCCATATTACTACTAGTATTAACTCCAGATGTCCCATGTCTGGATTAATGGACGGTGTTAGGTTCACAAAGACAGAAGCGAGAAAGATCTGTGAGTTTATAAACGGTCGGTCGATGTAGGGTCGGTGGGGCAGGGCATGAGAAGGTGTGTATCAGTTTTTATCACTTTCATGAATATTCTTTTACATAGCTCATTGCAAAACCAGATTAGTGAATCAGTAACTGTTTGTGATTATGACCAGGGTGTGTTCCCCCTGTTTTCTTAGGTGTTATGGGTTGAAACGTTTATCAGAAGATGCAGTGAATTTCAGCTCATACAGTACATAGACCTTTGAATTGAACTGTCAAAGCAGGAATCCCCCATGTGGTTTATCACAAATTTTTTACGATGTTTTTTTTTTACTAGTCTGACTCTGAATAGCACCGCACTCTTAGGTTTAATGGGGTTGTATATAGAGCCCAAGGGTTCTTGACTCAATTTTAAAGAATGCTTTATGCCAAAAAGGATATATAAGGAGAAATGTCTTAAATGATTGCCTAATGTTTTCATGTTTAAGGAATTATTTAAACTTTTCAACAAGCTGTTTAATTCATAAAAAAATTATTAAAATTAAAAATGAATTCAATCTTTTAATTAAAACCAAATTCATAAATTGATGGAATAAACCTTACCCCTATAAAGGTTCTATACATGAAGTGCCTGACAGAACCCTTTAAGGTTCTTCAATACATAGAACATTTTATTCAGAGAGTGTAGGAGTTCATTACTGATATCATTAAGCTCTGATATGAATTAAACATTTGTTTTTTTCCAAATTCAAGATATTGAAAATATAAAAAAAGTTTAAATTGTATATAGATTGTTTATAGAATTAGCATGTGTGTAGAAAGCTTAATTATTGTCACGGTCGGTTGTAGGCTATGAGAGCTGTCAGACTGGATCTAATCGGAGCAGTCACATTATTTAACAACACAAACAAAATAACAAACATGCAGGAGTAACACAACCAACTTAACATTGATGAGAATGGACAAAGAAACAACAAAAAATGAAGGCTATAAATAATAGACTCAGTGAAGGGAGAAAACAAGGAACAAGTGGGATTAATAAATGAACAAATGAGTAACCACAAAAACGAATGGGAGCATGCCTAGTAGAAACCATTGCTGTGTTTGAAATCGCCACTTATTTCCTCATTCACTATTCCCTACGTTAGTCCATTAATAAAGTCCAGCTAAAGGAGTGTTTGAAAACAAGTGAACGAATAAGGAAACTGAGTGTGCTGGAAGGGTTGCCGCTTTGCATAGTTTGTGCTTGCCGTTTAATAATCATTTGAAACTTAGCAAACTGGCAGCTCCACTGAAGAGATCTTGAACTCTGTCATGGAAATTTAACTTATAATTTATACCTTAATTAAACTATTTAATAATCAATTAAAAAGAAATGTATACCTGTATGATATTACGCTGACTGTAGCTGCACTGACTGGAACAGCGGTTTGGGAAATGGATGAATGGATTATTCAGCCGCAGCTAGGTGGCATCTTCTGGTGAGACCTATGGGTGAGACTGTAAAAAATGGGTGAGACAGGAATGGGCTCTATGCACGGCGGTATTTCCGGTGAAGGTCTAAGGATGCTGGATTACTTCCGCCGATCGTAGAGTCCAATGCTATACCGAGAATTTATATTGGTTTTTATACTCTATTGCTATACTAAAGAAACGTTAGTCACAAAAACAGACAAAACAGACACTCCTCATTTTGTTTATGCTTCTTATTATATTAAATAAACATAACTATATATAAAATAAAATCTAAACGTATTAAAGTTTCGTTTCAAAGACGAGAGGACAGTACATTTTGAAGACTCTCCCATAATCCCGTTTTCCTTGGTTTTCCTCCGCTTTAAATCTCCCCAACCGGAAACGCACGAGCATCCTTGCGTCAAACGCGGAAGTTATGCGTGCATATAGCCATAGCATATAGCCCATTCATTCGACACGACCCTCACGGTGCATTATGGGTATTCTCTAGTCTAGCGCACACCGGATTTACACTCGTTATTGCTGTGCATAATGAGATTGAATGAGTGCACTCGATAACGGACACCACTACGATTGGCTGTCCTCTCAATTATAGTGCCACGTTTAAGGGTATAGGGTGCGATTTCGGACACAGCCCATGACAACAAATGAACAGGGACAAAGCGGAGACGGGAACTAAGACGCGTGCTCATGACGTCACTGTTTTCACAAATTCGACTTTTGGGGGTTTATACTAAAATAATAACGCAGTACCCACACGTGTTTAGTTCATTATCCTGTGTATTCAAGTCGCTCAGTTTGTTCTGTTCCATGTCTGGTATTGTGCTCTGCATGCTGTTTTGTTGTATTTGCTATTCAGTGTTGGGTATAAGTAGGCTACTCTAAAGAAAATAAATAAATTAATTAATAGTTAATTACATCTTCAACAGTGTAATTGGATTGCTGTAGGCTACTTACTACTCTCTCTAAAAAAGTATTGCATTACTTTACTTTCTAAATCCCATATAATCTTCGACCAATTGAACAATACAAAGATAGACATGAAACTGCTCCTTTAATCCATTCAAATAAATAATATAAAAATGCATAAATTATTGTTGAACTTGAAAGGTTACATTAAAAACATACATTTTAACATTATATGTTATTTTTTGTATGTTTAATCCACTATTGTTTTATATAAAATCGTCTATATAGCCTATTTAATGCAATTACAGAAGTAACTGATTACAGAAAAATTTTTTTTAATTACAGCTCGTATTGGATTTTATACTTTAATAAATATGATGCACTTTGATCAAGCATTTGCATCTCAGTTTCTTCATTGGACTTTATATGTGACAATAATAACCAACCTTAGTCATTTCCGCGGATCGTGTGAACAGTGATTGTTTTGACAACATTGTCGTCTATGTGAACAACGCAAAGGAAAAACTTTTCCGTTTTTAGCTACATCGTTGTCGTGTAAACACTAATACAGGTAAAACGGAAACCTCATGTGACTATATTGTTGTTATATTTTGAAAAAAAAAAAAAAATAGACACATAAACAAGTTTAGTTTTCTTTTACTGTATTGCTATGACATTCACAAAATAACTGAAGTAATAATTGAATTTTTTTTCAGTCGTCCAGTTATGAAGCAAGTTAGTAACTAACAAAACCACTGAGATAATGACACTTGAGGAAAACGAATCAGTGCTCACAAGTATTACTTCTGATGCTAAATTAATTCTGTCCTGCATGTGACAAGAACTGATGGGAATCACTAGAATCCACCCATGTTCTCTGATAACGCATGCACTGTACTTTTATGATGCCTGTAAAAAGAGGCGCCCTGAAAATGACGATTCGAATCAGGTTCAGCCCATCAACGTGAGCCACTAAAGCTTGATGATTCAAGGTCAACTCTCTCTTAAGTACGCTAAAGTATTTTGTCCAGGCTAAACTTACAATTAAAAAAAGATCACCTTTTTTCTTCACACACTTCATTATTGTAATCCATATTGTAATGGATCATTCAGTTATCAGATACACAAGAATTGTTGTATACTTTGATTAGTACGCCTATAAAAAACAACATTATGTTATATAATGTTTAACAGATCTGAATGTACATACTGATCTGTAAAGTGCTATATCATATTAGGTAATGACTTTATATTGTAAAGTGTTACTGAATCATCTGTATGTGGTATGCAGCATTCAGATTAAAAGTAGTAGTTTTGTGTAATTTATAAACAAAACCTGAAAAGGTTTGTGTGTGTGTGTGTGTGTGTGTGTGTGTGTGTGTGTGTAAATCTGTGTGCTTAAAGACACTTGCATTAATAAAGGGATTTAGTTTGGTTTGGTGCTTTGTTTGTTCTTCCCAAATGTCAAAATGTGAAGTGTTATTTTGCAACTGAAACTTTTGCGTCTGTTTGCAAAAAGCTGATGCATCATTTTGATTGCAAAGGCCTTGGAACTTAATGGGATTACGGTCTTACAGTCACACAAGGAAGTCACACAGGTGCGGGAAAAGATTTAACAAACTTACTGTACTGCTTGTATTCATGCCTGTACATGCACAGTGGGTGTGATTTGATTCAAATCTAGATTGAGTTACACTTTACAATAATGTTTAACTTTGTTCAAATTTGTAAATGTGTTAGGTGTAAAAAAAAAAAATTAACTATTTTTACAGCATTTATAAATCTAGGTTATTCATTTATATACTGTTGTTTGTTGCTAATCCATGTTTTTACATAATACATGAACTAGTGTTCATTGTACCAATTGAGATGTTAGAAATTTAATTGAATACACTGTTCAAAGGTTTGGAGTCAGAAATTTTTTTTTGAAAGAAATGAACTTATTCAGAGAGAATGCGTTAAATTGATTAAAAGTGACAGTAAAGACATTTATAATGTTACAAAAGATTTGAATTTCAAATGAATGTTGTTCTTTTGAACTTTATCTCTTTAAAATCTCTTTAGATACTGTATACCAGTTTCCACCAAAAATTAAGTTTTTAAATTGGTTTCATCATTGCTAATAATAAGAAAAATGTCTTGACCATCACATCCGCATATTAGAATAACTTCTGAAGGATCAATGGACACTGAAGTCTGGAGCAATGATGCTGCAAATTCATGCCATCAAAGGATTAAGTTACATTTTAGAATATATTGAAATAGAAAACGGTTATGTTAAATTGTAATAATAGGTCACAATATTACTGTTTTACTGTATTTTTGATCAAATAAATGCAGCTTTTGTGAGCATTAGAAACATCTTTCAAAAACATTAAAAAATCTTGGAGACCTTAAACTTTTGAACAGTATGTAAAAATGAGCATTGATCAAGATAATAAATGCTTGGAAAAGTATTTTTTGTTATCTATTGCGTTTACTCTTTGATGCACAAGCTTTGGATACCCCCTCTAATGCACAACATGGGTCTAAAAAGACCCGTATTCATTTCCTATGTTATTTCATGCATGGCTCGGCCTTTTTTTTTGTTTCACCTTTTGAAATCACTTTATTTGAGCATTTTATA